AGTCCCGCCGGAAACCGGAACCTGAACTTGAAGTTCCTGTACCGCGGAGCGCGCTGTGCTGCTGGCCCACGCTACAAGACAGGTAAGTAAAGCTTCACATTCGCTCCATAAGACGCAGAGACATTTCCCCTCACTTTTGAGGGGAAAAAAAGTGCGTCTTATGGAGCGAAAAATACGGTAAGCAGTTTTAGTGTACAGATTATGCTCCTGAAATCTCACTGCTCAATTCTCTGTCATTTAGAAGTTAAAACACTTTGTTTCTGTTTATGCAGCCCAAGCCAGACTTCCCCTGACAGGGACTTACAAAGTCTGCATTAAAACAAAATGTTTTTTTTTTTAAATTAGATATTAACTTACTTAAAAAGTTTTTATCTATTGCTCTGTAAAATTATCTTTAATTACATACAGGAGGCTCCTGCAGTGTCTAGCAAGCAGGAGATAAGAAATTCTAAATTAAACAGAACATGCAATAAAGGAAGTATAAATATTAGATGACTCTTTACAGGAAGTGTTTAGGAAGGCAGTGTTAGGCACATGCAGGGTGGTGTGACTAGGGCTGCATAAACAAAGTGATTTAACTCCTATATGGCAGAGAATTGAGCAGTGAGACTGCAAAAGCATGATCTATACACCAAAACAGCTTCAATAATTACATTAAACCTGCTTTGTGGTTGTGGGTATGAAGGTGTGTTCTGTTTAGTACCTGACTACAGATACCATTGCTCTTGGAATAAAAGAGACACGAAAAAGCTGAAAGAGAAACACTAGCTGTGGTTACAGGCATAAACGGTCTGTTCCTTCGCATACAGTAGTTCTGAGTGCAACAATCCTCAGCACTTTGGAACGCAGCACCTGCAAATGAAGGCGATTGACTGGCACTGCATGATAAGGCTGTGCATGCTCACACCATACAAACACTTGTATGGCTCAATGGAGAAGCTAAGCTTCCCCTTATTACATCAGTGTTAAAGTGGGTGGAGCCTGGCACTGGAAATATATATTACAATAAACAATGTGCGTGAATTAGAAAGGAACACTTTCTAAATACAAACTTTCTGCTTCTGCGGTTGATGTGGCTCTTACTCTCACTCATCCTGACTCCACTATGCCTGCTTTATTTTCACTGTTAAAGGAATCAAACGATAAGTTCCTTATCTTTGCTGCTTTGACTAACCATTATCCATGAATATTATTATTTTCTTTGGGACATCTCAACATCTGTAAAAGATATTTCATATTCACACCACTCTCTCTGCTTTCCCTTATTTGGGAATGTAACGGCTTCTCCCTTCCAACTAGATTTTGAAAATGATCCTATGCTTTATAGTTGAAACGAGAGCAAAAGCCTTGGGACAGGCATGCCATCTCCTTGATGGGTAGAGAACACAGAGTAGAGATGTACCGACTTCCCAAACTCGTCTATTTCAGGCTCTCTCGATTCCATTTTGTGTTTTAGATTTTAAATCCCTTCAATCAGCTACAGACCATTTCATTTGGCAGGGGTAGTCAGCACAGAGCTGCTCAACCAGTTTTATTTCATCCTGAATTCAATAAAGGTTTGGGCCCACCCAGTCTTACTTCATATCACATTGCTGCTCAGCTGGCATCAGATTCAGATTTATGCACTCCAGATCTTCCGCAATTATTTTTACTTTGCGTTGAAAATCTTCCCACCCACCAATTCGCACTAATTGCCCCTCCATATAAAATTTCGGATTTGGGATAAATACGCTCATAGGTCTAACTTTATGATTCTCCCTTCCACACTTGCTTCCATTTTGTGTAACCAAAATCTCTCTTATTTTGCCCAACTGAAGGATGTTTCTCACTTTTGAAACCATTTCTTCTAGAGTCTTAACTTCTACAGTTTTCCGTTCTTCCTATCTTCACTTTTTCTCGTCTTCACCTCCTGTGTTTCTTTAATTTAGCATTGCAACCTTCTTCCTGACCGTTTACTATAACTGGCATTGGTCAACCTATTTGTTAGCTTTTTATTGATCAGGGTTTTGCCTTCATTATGCTGATACTCGTGTGCTCATGCTACACTATTTTATCATTCATTTGCTATTATCAATTTGTAAAATTGACATTGTATTTCTTTGCTGGTTGTACTAGTGATTTATTTTTATTGCACTTGCTGTATCTAAAAGGTTAAAAAAAATAAAAATAAAAAAATTCAGGTGCCATTACATCTTTTTAATCTAAAAAATATTACCAAAGCAACCTAGTCCCAGAGAGACCCAACTAAATATTTATTTAAATAAATGATAAAGTATTATCCCCCACAAACACATATAACAAAATTGTGAATCCAATAGCGACGACTATTTCTTCACAGGGATTCTGTTTCACAAACATTGTTTTTGGCAACTTATTATATAATCTAGAAATGATTTACTTTACAGTGGACATTAACATGGCTTCAGTTGCAACTTAGTACTTCAGGAATGTTGGCCATGTCTTGTGGTTTTACAAACAGGTTTGATCACTGACACTGCCAGGAGGCAACAGACAACTCCTGTGATTGGTTAAAAGAGGCAATTAAAGGGACAATGTAGGCATTGTGTCTGCTTCATCTCATTAAACTGGTTATAGTGTCTGGAGTCCTCTGGTACTGTCATTTCATTCAGCATTAAACAGTTTTTAATATGGTTATGTTTTAATGCTAAACTACAGTCTCTGGCAGTACATCCCCTCTGTGCTGCTTTGACTAATGGGCAGCTGTGATTGACTGCTTTTAGCCTATTAGACCTCCAACTGATGGTATGAATGGGTACAACTACAAGAAAGTGTGTGATCTCTGCCATAGCCACACCTCCAGAAGGGGCCAGGGACCCTTATTTAATGCAAAACTTCTTTAAAATGGTTTAACAGTGAATGGAGGGACACTGGCATGGGACTCCGGGCACTATAACCAATTCAAAGAAATTAAATTGATATAGTGACTACAGTATCCCTATAAGCGTTCCTAACCAATGAGTGCCTCCCTGCAAATAAGCCAGAATCTTGGGCCAAGGCTTTGAACAGACCACGAAACTAATTGTAATGATCCCTTCAGTATCTAAGCCTCCCAGGATAGTATAGATGGGTGAGTAACATATGGTGTTATGTTGCTTTGAACGCGTTGGTTTTTACAAACATTTAATTAATTATTAGGAGTTTGTTGTTTACCAGAGAAGGAAACAACGTATCAGTGATCCCAAAATAGTGGGATCTATCAATGTGAAAACATTTTGGATCTGAGCGAAAGCACATTAATATATTTCAGCGACATTTATAGAATAACTTACTGACCACTGGGTAACTGAAAGTTTAGCCTTCACATAAGACATATAATGTGTCTAGGACTGAGGAGGTGAGCCAAGGGGTTTTACTAAATGAATGGTTACATAGCAGGCATACACTAGTCTAAATAAAAAAAAAATATATCAATCTTGCAAGTAGCATGTCTCTTCCAAAATTAAAGAAATGAAAATAAATAAAATAAAACAAATGCCAGCTATTCAAACACCCACAATAGGAAGGAGACTGTGGCTCCAACAATGCAGTGTGGCTAATGGTTGCCCACATAGTAAACATGGTAGTCATACTGTGTCATATATTGGCTCACTCCCATTATGCTAAGCCAGACAATGCTCACTCCCATTATGCTAAGCCAGACAATGCTCACTCCCATTATGCTAAGCCAGACAATGCTCACTCCCATTATGCTAAGCCAGACAATGCTCACTCCCATTATGCTCAGCCAGACAATGCTCACTCCCATTATGCTCAGCCAGACAATGCTCACTCCCATTATGCTCAGCCAGACAATGCTCACTCCCATTATGCTCAGCCAGACAATGCTCACTGTTTGGCAGACCAGCTGCTCTGTGACTACCAGCCTGGAGGGTGAGCCCCATGGTGTCCAGCCAGGTAGAGGACATTTCCTATGAAGCTCAGCACGGAGCGCACCAGCTGTTACTGCCAGCACTGGGTTTTGTCCCCCGGGGGGAGAGTGAGGGGGGGTGACATGTTACCCTACCCCCCCTCTGCCAATCTCTGGGCCCCCTGAGCAACCGTGCCCCCTAGCAACCAGGATCCCGAGCCAATCACAGGGCAGGCTGGGGAGGAGGGGGTTCATGTCAGGCGGCTGGCAGACGGACACATCCCGCAGCCAATCACACGGCGAGAGAGGGAGACCACGCCCACCCACTCCTAGCAACACGGAGCCGCAGCGACCAATCAGCGCTGGGAGAGCCTGAGCTCGCGGCCTCGGAAGGCTCTGGAATGAGGGAGGGGGCGGTTGGAGCCCGGGGTGGGGGGGAGGAGGAGGAGAGACAGCGCGCGCGGGGCGGGCGGTACCTGAAGAACAGGGTCCGGTACATCTGGTGGGCCTCGTAGTAATCCCCCTTCTCCACGCTGGCCCGCAGCTTGCCTTCCACCCGCTGCACCCCTCCCCGGTTCCGAGCGCTGCCTTTGGAGCCTTCCTGCTCCGCCATAGCAGCAGCCATCATGTGGAGGGCAGCGTGACGTCACCGCGCTCTACGCAGCTCGAGCTCTCCGCAACGTACGGCGGCCGAGCTGGGTCAGGCGGCAGAAATGGCAGCCGGGTCACGTGATCTCCGCCGCCGCAGCTGATTGGCTGCCGCTGAGCCCAGCAAGTACTGTCCGACAGCCCCCGCCATGTTTTCCATGGAAACCTACCCGTCTCCATGACAACGGGCCTCAGACAGTAACAGGGAGATCAGTTAATCAGTCGAGGCTTCTTTTAATGGACCTGCAGGTTTATTCAGGCAATAAAAGAGTCACTGTGATCCTTTCATGGCTTCCTGCTGCGCTTTCCCAGCGCTTTCCATGTAAACCTTACTGGGCGGGGCTCTCATCCCACCAATCGCTGTCCTATCCCTAGGTATGGCGGGGAATCGGACTGCGCATGCGCGGCGGAGAGATCCCTCGATGTCACCAGTGACGTAGCCGAATCCTATCTGCGCCCGCGCGCTCCCGCCGGGCATGCGCACTGAGCGCGTCCACGACCACAGCCTCCGGCCAGCGAGTGTTTATTTACCCCCAGATACACGGAGCGGCCCCCCTGGACACCCAGCACGGTAAGTGCACACTGCGGGGGAGGGGGAGCAGGTCTGGGGGTCAGTATTCAGCTTAGACCAAGGGGAACCTCCAGGAAAAGTGAATACAATGACCCAACACTGCAATAAGTTGGGAGAGGGGGAGCTGTCCTGATATATATAGACACAGAGAGAGAGAGAGAGAGGGAGGGGGACAGCCTGGACATGGAATATTGGGAACTTACTAATACATTAACATGAGGGGTTTATCAGCATCAGATGCTTAGAAAGCTCTAAAAACAAACCCAGTGTGCTGTCATTGTCACCTGGGATGGAGGAGCTGTGAGAGCACAGGGGATTCAATAATATATTATATTATACCTAAATGTAAGTCATTAAATATATTTTTTAACATATTCTGGAAGTGCACTACATTTTTGTACATTTTCTCTTTTTGAGACACACATATCTATTTGCTGATGAATATGTGAGGAGAGACAACATACTGGATATTGAATAACACCATTTAAAGCTGCTCTAACTCCATAAAGACATCATTCAAGGCTATCTTAACTCTTCAAAATTGTGAGTGACCATTTGTGATCACACATCAATACCAGTCTCCACACAGTTATATGCTATGTTTTTTATTTGTATTTAGCAGATTGTCCCCTATTTTTCTGTGTGATTCAATAATATGCAGGAATTGCTGAGAGCCAAGACTGTGACTTATTACATATGGACATTAAATTATTGCAGTAATGTTTGTGCTACACAATGGTGTGTACTGGGATGTGTACTGTAAAGATAGATTGTATACTTTGCTTGTAATCTTACTGTTCACATAGGTTGGATCTGAGAGGCTTGCTTTGGGATAGAGCTGCAGCATTAAAGGGACATGCGTCTCTCGCCAGTTACTGTTTTAAACCAGCAAACAGACCCTTTTAAACCGATGCACTAACCAAAATAAAGCAAGAAAAACTTCACAAAGCATACAATAAATGTGTATAGATTTACTATAAACTTGGTCAGATTGCATTATTGGGCATGCCTTTCAGATAGGGGAGTTTTTTCTGTCCCCTTCCCCCTCTCCCATCTCAATTTCAGTGGAGTCCACTAATGACCGTAACCGCATCACTGTGCAGCAGCAGGAAAGAGAAACCCAACACCGGAGCCTGTGCTGCATGATCACACTGATCGACTCGCTATCTTCTCCTCCTGTGAGGATATTATTATTATTACTATTGCCATTTATATAGCTCCAACAGATTCCGTAGCACTTTACAATATTATGAGAGGGGGGATTTAAAGGGACACTATAGTCACCGGAACAACTACAGCTTATTGAATTTGTTCTGGTGTATAGAATCATTACCTTAAGGCTTTTTGCTGTACCTTCAGAGAAAATGCAGTGTTTACATTACAGCCTAGTGATAACTTCACTGGCCACTCCTCAGCTAGCTGTTAGAGATCCTTCCTGGGTCGTGGCTGCCTAAAATGCATCCAAACATTCAGTGTCTCCTCCCTCTGCATGCAGACACTGAACTTTCCTCATAGAAATGCATTGTTTCAATTAATCTCTATGAGGAGATGCTGATTGGCCAGGGCTGTGTTTGAATTGTGCTGGCTCTGCCCTTGATATGCCTCTTTGTCAGTCTCAGCCAATCCTATGGAGAAGCACTGTGATTGGATCAGGCCACCACTTCTGATGATGTCAGCAGACTGCTTGTTTTTCCTGAGTCTAACAGCATGGTGATCTACAGCTTCTTGCTTGAATACAATAAGTTTTTGCTATATTTATGGAGACATGAGGGGCCCAGGAGGGCTAGATGGTGGTTTTAACACTATAGGGTCAGGAATACATGTTTGTGTTCCTGACACTATAGTGATCCTTTAATTATAAATAGGAAAATTACAAGAAAACTTACAGGAACGATAGGTTGAAGAGGACCCTGCTCAAACGAGCTTACAGTCTATATTGTAACGTGAAGTCTTATCAACTCCTACACACTAATAGAGACTATTAGTCAGGAGCCTTGTTAGAAATCATAAGTAACTCACATCAGTGTCGGAACTTTGCTGACTTTATTGACCTACGTATAATAAAATATAATTACTAACGTTTCTTTTTTACCACTATGGTGACTGCAAGACTCAATATAAAATGTTATTTATATCAGTGGGTGCCTGTCATTTGAGGCATAAGGAAAATTGTCATATATAGCATGTGTTCACTTTTTGGGGTGTTTAGTAATATATCAGCTCAACATCCATGAGCCCATGGACAGTGTCCTATTCTTTGTATATACATAAAAATTATTTGCTTGACAGTAAGTCATCTGCAGTTTGTAGCGTGATAGGGAGTTTAAAGGATCACTATAGGGTCAGGAACACAGACATGTATTTCTGACCCTATAGTGTTAACATCATCTAGCCCCCCTGGCCCCCTCATGCCTCCATAAATATAGCAAAATCTTACTGTATTCAAGCCTGAAGCTGTAGATATGCATGCTGTTCTGACTCAGAAAAACAAGCAGTCTGCTGACCTCATTAGAAGTGGTGGCCTGATCCAATCACAGTGCTTCCCCATAGGATTGGCTGAGACTGTCAAGGAGGCAAATCAGGGGCAGAGCCAGCACAATTCAAACACAGCCCTGGCCAATCAGCATCTCCTCATAGAGATGAATTGAATCAATGTATCTCTATGAGGAAAGTTCAGTGTCTGCATGCAGAGGGAGGAGATACTAAATGTTTGGATGCATTTTAGGCAGACATGACCCAGGAAGGATCTCTTAACAGCCATCTATGGGGTGGCCAGTGAAGTTATCACTAGGCTGTAATGTAAACACTGCATTTTCTCTGAAAAGACAGTGTTTACAGCAAAAAGCCTGAAGGTAATGATTCTAATCACCAGAACAAATTCAATAAGCTGTAGTTGTTCCGGTGACTATAGTGTCCCTTTTAGTGGTAATATCCTCACAGACTAAGAAAACCTGAGTTTTCAGTTTTGTTTTTTTTTCTTTATCAGAACGTGACCGGAATCAATTTACTTATATCTATCCTTATTATTTTATTTTAGCAAGTGCTACTTCACCTGACTCCAATTATTATAGTCAGTTAATATTTGGATAAGTGTCTTTTTCATTTGTAGTTTGCCATTCCTTTTCAGATTTGTGATTCAATATACCCTCCAAAGCAACTTTAGATTAAAGGGACACTATAGGCACTCAGACGTGTGGTCTGAGTGCAGTTTCCCAGGTAGTTTAACCCTGCAAACACAAACTTATTTATTGCAGTTTTTAATAAACTGCAAAAACTACTTTTGAGGGTTAACTCCACCGCTAGTGGTTGTCTGGTAGGACTTCTGAGTCTTTGGACAACTTTTGGTCGCCTGTCACTGGCCGTCCTCACTCTGTGCATCCAGTGTCATGTAAAACCCCATAGGAAAGCGTTTTATGCGCTTTGCCACACATCCACATTTGGTCTCCCCCGCCGGCTCACGCGGAACCTGAATCAGTGCCAAGGGGCATCGGTGCTGGAGTCAGTAAGTGTCAGAAGGTTGTTTTGTTTTGTTTTTTTATCCCTTTATTAGTAGATTCCAAAAGAAATATGTACAGAAATACATGGCAGAATATATTTCTTTTGGAATCTACTAATAAAGGTATTTTATCAAAAAATTATTAAAAAGAAAAATAAGTGTTTTTATCCTTTTTTGGAGTCTTGCTCCTTATTGGGGAAATTTTCCTTGTGTTCTTACCTTGATTAAGCGATTTGTTAATGGTGGTAATTTACTACCTTGTGGGATTATACCTCCTGTATTTATGTTATTGTTGTTCTAAACTGTTAATACACACTTTTAAAAGTTTTACTTGCTTTATTTTGGTTTGTATATTTGTTTAAAAATGTTTGCTGATTTAAAAAAAAGTTAGGTGATCCATGCCACTTTAAATTCCTGTTCTCACCAGGGAGTTCCAGGTATTAACCTGGTGCTCCCCTCTGTCAGCTGGGGCTATTTTTAGTGGCTTTAGGTTGACCTATGATCTTTATGCAGTGCAAAAAAACGAACAGTGGTGGCTATGGTAACTCCCTGGCCAGTGCTTTTAGCGCTGGCTTGAGCGTATAGGAACCTAGTGACTAATGTCACTCCACTCAGAAGTCAACATGTCTGCGTCATGAAGGTTAGCCCAGCTTGGGGTGGTTGTCCCCAAGCCAGACAAATCAGTGAACACCGCAGGAGGAGCCAAGAACGGATCAGATGGGTGCTACAGAAGTATAACCCCCACCTCTGCAAGGAGATCGCAGTGGAGGGTCAGGCAAGTCCAGTGCAGATTCGCTTTAAGGGTAAGATTAGGGTAGGTGTATGTTTAGTGTAAACATAGGGTAATAGGTTTGGTTGGTATAGGGCTAGTGGTAAAATAAGTGCCAAAAATTAATTTAGATCCCAGGCATGTTAGCTGTTTAATGAATCTATTTTGAAGTCTTTATTTAGTTGTAATGGATGTGTACAAAGTATTATAAGGAAAAATGGGACATCTAAATATAGGATATTAAAGCTCTAAATATAGGATATTAAAGCTCTTAAAGGTTTGTTTTCCTGGCACTTTCCTGAGAACTTGGATTATCTCCTTCTTAAGGGGTTAATAAGTGAGTTTTAATGCTACCTTTGTTTATTCTTAGCGAGTTTTATGTAAGTCACCCTAACTGCATTTTCAGCGCCTCTCTCTGTTATAATATATTGTATTATTTTGTTATCCTTGTTACACTAACTCCTGGTGTTTTAGTTAGCTGGCTGTTTCTGTAATACTAATGAAATGTATTTATTTTTAACAGATGCCACGCTGTCTGGTAAAATCATGCACTTCAAAGCAAGTGCATGGTCAAAAAACTGGTGCTGTTGCAATGCACCTGTTCCCTAAATCACCAAGTAAAATCAAACTTTGGATGGAGAACATTGGGCAGAAATTTGAAGATATGGATGCAACAATCAAGGAAATAGTTGGAGCAAAACGTGGCTGCTACAGAATTTGTTCTGCACACTTCACACGTGATTCATTCGAGCAGATTGGATCACGCAGGTTTTTAAAGAAAAATGCCGCTCCCACTATATTCCAAGATTATGATGGATGCAGTATTGCTGCGCCAGTTCAAACGCAGAAACACAATGCAGTTAATAGACAGACCCTCGCCCCAACAGCTGGAAATACTGCATCCATTGCTGCTAATACAAGCAAACTAGAAGCAGAAAGTGATGGGGAGAGAGAAGAATTTATATTGAGTGGAACAACAAACGTGGACAGTTGGGAACATTGCTATTCAGGTAAACCTTCACAGATGCTCCAGGGAAAAGGAAAAGTATTGAAGAAAAGCGTTGGGACTACAACAAAAGGCTTACTAAAGTCAAAATCTGTTGGCATGTGGACAGGGCCTTATGAATTTTTTATGGAAGAAGTGTCACGTTCTACTGACGAGATTTCAACATCAAAAGCCGGTAAATGTACATCCGCATGGACTGCTAACCTACAGCAAGATGGACGTGAGCAAGAAAACCAGAAAACAAGCAACGTTAAAGATGAGAGAGAGAATTTTGTGACTGGTGCACCGTTTTGTTCAATGGAAAATACAAATGTCTCTGTTAAGGCTGAGCCAAACGACGAAACCCATACATCCAACGTAAGCAGCTGTAGTACAGCAGATGACATCTTACATGACGATAAAGATGAGAAAGGCGGTTTTTCTCTTGATACCAGTGTTGTGGCTGGTGTACCTTTTTGTTCAATGGAAAATACAAATGTATCAGTTAAGACCGAGCCAAACAACGAAATTTATATCCCCAATACAAGCAGCTATAATACTGGTGATCACACCCTACACAACGTTAAAGATGAGAGGGAAAATACAAATGTATGTGTTAAGGTGGAGCCAAACGACAAAAGTTATACCCACAACATAAGCAGCAATAAAACCGGTGATCAGACCCTACATGATGTTAAAGATGAGAGAGAAGATTTTACTCTACATGCTTGTGTAGGGACTGCTGCACCTTTTTGTTCAATGGAAAATACAAATATATCTGTTAAGGTGGAGCCAAAGGATGAAACGTATACCCCCAATATAGGCAGCTCTGCTATTCGTGATCACACCTTACATGACGTTAAAGATGAGAGAGAACATTTTTCTCTTGATGCTGGTGCTGTGATTGGTGCACCTTTGTGTTTAACGGAAAATACAAATGTATCTGTTAAGACTGAGCCAGATGACGAAACACATACCCCCAACACAAGCAGCTATACTGCCGCTGATGACACCTTAGATGACTCTGACACAAGCGCAGTGGAGGAAAGTAAATTTATTGTGTTTGAATCCTCACTAGATCTACTTATACAAAGAATAAGATGTGCACACAGAGGGATATGTGAGAGACGTATCTTAAAGAAAGACAAAATCATAACTGGTTCTTGCTTAACTGTTCTAGGTACTTGTGAAGATGGACATGTTACAGAGCTATGGAGAAGCCAGCCACTTGTAAACAAAATACCACTTAGAAATGTAATTTATTTCTGAATAGGGAGGATGCCTACTACATGGCAGCTGATTCACATACTGCCCAACCGCAGGGGATCATCTGTTTCCAGGAAAATATGGTGTAATTGATGCCTCTTAAGCGCAGGATAAAGATGATAGCATTGGCATTCCTGCTGTGATAGTGTCAGTGCCAGCCATGTAGGTGGATGGTGATCCTGGGTATGGTAGTTCAGAGTACTGCATAATTGAGCTGTTTTTCACTAAACACTACAATGCAGTACATTAAAGACTAAATGCCAAAATAAGGTTGAACTAAGTCATGATCAGGGTTGTTTGTTAAAGTAAGAATAATTAGACATTAAAAAATAAAGGTAAGTCATCCATCCTGAAAACACATCCGATTTGGATTTATTTTTTTTAATTTTTTTTCAGTTTGGCTATTGTGGTCTTAAATTTGGAATTCAGAGTAAATCCCTGCCAATTCTCACTTTAGTGAATAACCCGAATATGGTTTGTTAATTCGGTTTCATGGCTTAGTATTGAAAGTGTCCATGTTTGTAATGAAGGTAATTCATACCACGCAAGAGTAGGATATATGGAAAGAGGGACAGCAGTCTGCAGGCATGAACACATGGCAGGCTGACTGCTTATCTGAAATCAGGCTTTGCTAACTGTAAAGCAGGAATTTTGGAATACCTGGTTTTTAAAGGACCATTCCGGTCACAACAACATGTTAAGTTATCGTTTAGGGCAGGGCTTAACAAATCCCAGACGCCTGGTCGAGTAGAAATATCGACCCTGGCACCTGGTATGTCAGCCCTTTAAGGAGTGTGGGAACCGACTGCCCGTGGCAGCATTGTAGGTGGCATGTGAGGGAGCAGTATTCAATCTGCAGTTCCTCTCTGCTCCCTCGCACACTGTTTAATGCCAGGAGCTGGAATATGAAATAACTCTGGCCCCACCATCACTAGAGAGCGTGAGGGAGCAGCAGGTAGATAACTGCTCCCTCCCATGCAGGAAGAGAGAGGAGCCCCACTGAACCCCAGGGAAAGATCCACTCTGCTCTCCCAAATGTAGGGAGACTGAGTGGATTGCAAGAAAAATAAAAACCTATTTGTGCAGGTGAAAAGGTCTGTGTCTGTCTAGGTACCTGCCCCCCTCTAATAGCACGAGAAAGTTGTTTTTACTCCCCTTTTTCCCCATGGCTGGTCAGTCATAATGATCTCCACTAAGGGACAATATTGCACATGTGCAGCAGAACAATGTGCCAATTACCCTCTCCTCATAGAGAGGCATTGAATCCATGCATCTATATAGGGAACATTCAGTGCCTCCATACAGAGCTTTCCTATGGGGAGAGGCCTAATACACTCACCATGCATGCACATTGACATCACCTGACTGTGGGGTGAATTGTGTTAAAGGAGATCTGCTAATGGGACAATGTGACTTAACAGCCAGGGAGGTGTTTTATTTGTTTATTATATATATATTACACACACACATAAATATAACAATTTTTACTGCATCTGTGCATGAGAGTATCATAGAAAGTAAAAGGATGCCACTAACTTTTTTTTTTTTTTTTTTTAAAGGGACATTAACTTGAAAAATATACATGCTATGTATGTATTTAATTATTTTCAGATTGCATGGGACACCAGAAAAAAAAAAAAAAAGTAAGATCATTCTTCAATATGTTTGGACAAAATCTTTGTTGAAAGGGACAATCCAGACACCAAGCACTTATGCTTGCTGGAAATCTTTGTGTGTATAGTTTTGTTTTTCCATTTTAAAAAAAAGTACTGATTTTAGTAGAAATAACTGTTTAGTGCACCACTCTCGAAGCAGGCGATTGCCCAGATCGGTCCTGCAGGTTTCTCAGTAAGTAACAGCTCATTATTACTTCCTATGATTGGTCAGCTACAGAAAGTGTGTCCTGGGGTTAGACTGCTTTGCCAAGAAATCCTATATCCCCAAAGTAACCATACAGAATTACATGCATATTTTATTTAGGTGTATACCATTTCCCAACAATGTTCCTTAAAATACAATCTCACCTATCTGTAACGTCTGCCAGGGAAGATGGGGAGCTTGAGAAAGTGTGATGAAATGTTGTGCAGTATGCTTCAATAAATCTTTGTTGGATCCAGTCTAATTTTATGGCTGGTCTTGTCTCCTTTTATTCAATATATTTATATTTTAATAGAAGTAAAGGCTAGGAGGAGTGGTCGATACAACCTATTACGAGTAACGATCTTATTCCCTCCCGCCCCAAAGAAAACCATACAAAATTACCTGCATTTTCTTTGTTTTTTTTTGTTTTTTTTTTAAATTAAGTTTATTTACTAGCACACAAAAATATTTTTTCTCCTCTTTATTCATTTTATTCTATTAAATGTCCAAATACATCTAAAAACAACCCATTCCATGTTTACTGCTTGAGGACAGAGGGCACTGTCCAAGTTCTAAAATAAAACCTTGAATTTGAGCTAAAGGTTTCTTCCACTATACAGTAAGTGATTTTCTTCAAGTACCTCCATACAAATAAAATTATATATGTTTACAAGTAGATAAATATATATATATTTTTTATTTAAAAAGGACAGAGCTTTTATTTAATTTCCTATCGCCAAACACCTGGAACATGCAGTTGTGTGCTGGACATGAGCTTTTAGCACTGCCCTGGGAAAGCAGCATGGCAGCCTGGAGAAAAGGACTGAGCGTGTAAATTTATATGTAGATTCCTGATGGAGAATGAGTGGGTTTGTCCAGAATTCTGCCAGATCAATCATAGGATTGGGTGGAGTTGGGTGTTAGAATAACAGGAGGTTGCCTTCATAATGCTATGAACTTAGAAACAAGCAGGGGGCGGGAACATATTTAGAACCCCGAGGGATCTGAGAGAATGGTATGACAGACAAGGGGTGCATGGACAGAAAGCATCCACACCACAGCCATCATAACCCTCTGCTTCCACTACCAAGGAAAAGACTATGGGGCAGGCAGATTCAGAGACATGCAGGATTATTCGCTAAACAAAAAACCAGCAAAAAGCATTTACTAAAACAGAGTTTGAGATTTTTTTTCCAGATCAGCTTATTTTTGTGGAAATTCAGAGTTTATTGAATAAAGTTGTCTATGTACAGGACTTTAACCAGAGGCCCCAATTATTTTGTGTGTTAGGACAGAGAAGTAGATAGGTACACACATACAGGGTCCAAACATTACAAGTGGATAAAATATTTATTCCCTCCATTTTTTGCTTATAGTTTTACACATCCAGTGCAACTAAATTAAAGGGACACTATAGTCACCCAAACAACTTTAGCTTAATGAAGCAGTTTTGGTGTATAGATCATTTCCCTGCAATGTCACTGCTCAATTCTCTGCAAATTAGGAGTTAAATCCCTGTTTATGAACCTCCCTGCTTGTGACTAGCACAGCCTTCCTAAACACTTCCTGTAAAGTCATCTAATGTTTATCCTTTTTTGCAAGTTCTGTTTAATTTAGATTTTCTTATCCCTTGCTAATAGCTTGCTAGACCGTGCAAGAGCCTCCTGTATGTGATTAAAGTTCAATTTACAGAGAGATTGTTTAACCCCTTAAAGAACCACTCTAGGCACCCAGACCACTTCAGCTTAATGAAGTGGTCTGGGTGCCTGGTCCAGCTAGGGTTAACCCATTTTTTTTAAATAAACATAGCAGTTTCAGATGTTTATAAATAGGTTAATTCCAGCCTCTAAAGCCTCTAGTGGCTGTTTCATTGACAGCCGCTAGAGGCGTTTGCGTGATTCTCACTGAAAAATCACAGTGAGAACACGCAAGCGTCCATAGGAAAGCATTGTAAATGCTTTCCTATGAGACCGGCTGAATGCGCGCAGCTCTTGCCGCGTGTGTGTGTATTCAGCCGAATGGGAGGAGAGGAGGATCGGAGGAGAAGAGCTCCCCGCCCAGTGCTGGAAAAAGGTAAGTTTTAACCCCTTTCCTCTCCCAAGAGCTGGCACTATAGTGGTCCTTGAAGGACCAAACTTCTGGAGTAAAAGGGAATCATGATGTGTCCTTAAGGGGTTAAAGGAACACTATAGTCACCTAAATTACTTTAGCTAAATAAAGCAGTTTTAGTGTATAGATCATTCCCCTGCAATTTCACTGCTCAATTCACTGTCATTTAGGAGTTAAATCACTTTGTTTATGCAGCCCTAGCCACACCTCCCCTGGTTATGATTGACAGAGCCTGCACGGAAAAAAAAAAAACTGGTTTCACTTTCAAACAGATATAATTTATCTTAACCCCTTAAGGACAACGTGTGACATGTCATGATTCTCTTTTATTCAAGAAGTTTGGTCCTTTAGGGGTTAAATAATTGTATCTCAATCTCTAAATTGAACTTTAATCACATACAGGAAGCTCTTGCAGGTCTAGCAAGCTATTAACATAGCAGGGGATAAGAAAATCTTAATTAAACAGAACTTGCAATAAAGAAAGCCTAAATAGGGCTCTATTTACAGGAAGTGTTTATGGAAGGCTGTGCAAATCACATGCAGGGAGGTGTGACTAGGGTTCATAAACAAAGGGATTTAACTCCTAAATGGCAGAGGGTTGAGCAGTGAGGCTGCAGGGGTATGTTCTATACACCAAAACTAAAGTTGCTCAGGTGACTAGTGTTCCTTTAAGGTAATTTACATCTGATTGAAAAATAAAAAAAACAGTTTTTTTTCATGCAGGCTGTCAGTCAGGGGAGGTGTGACATGGGCTGCATAAACCTTAACAAAGTGATTTAACTTCTAAATGGCAATGAAACCTAAGAAGCATTATCTATACACTAAAACTGCTTAATTGAGCTAAAGTGTAGGTGACTATAGCGGTCCTTTAAAAGAACTCAAAATAGATTCATATCAGTCCCAATTGTTAAATGCCACATGTCCAGGCCCTTAATTTTTGGTAGGCAACACTAATCAGACCCCTTTCCCAATGCTTACTTGTAAATGTGTACTTCCCCTAATCTTCCCCTTAACCCTATACTATCCCTAATTCTAAAACAGTATTAACGGTTCACGTTACAATCTCTTCGTAGGCATTTAAACACTTAAAGTGCTGCTCTCAGCGCATCAAAAAGTCTGGCATCACAAAAGATGGGCCCCAGTTGACAGAGGTCAGCCCTAAGTATACCTTGATACCTGGGACTCCCTGATGTGAGCAGGGGCATTTAAACCCACTCTGTGTAGAATGGGAAAGTGTTAATTTGATACAGGAGGCTGGGTTTTTATCATTTTAAAAGATTCAAATATAATGGAGACCTGATATATAGCACAAATAGGGATAAATTGGCATGGAGACATTTCCTGACCAAGAGAACCACTAGTCTCAGTATTTCAAGGGCTTGGATGTTTGTTTTGTATATTTGGAGACGAAATACAGAAAATAAATATACTGTCCATCACCTTTTCAAATATTACATGCACTCAAAAATTAAACTTTATTTAAAACAGTTCAATAATTTTTTCAATATAGAGCAAGCAAATAATACTCACTGAAAAACAAACTTGAAAAGCCTTTACAAAAATACAATGCACAAAGTCCTATTTTTAATCTTAAAAAATAAATTAGTGTTTTGGAAAGCAATGAATATCCCTTATCCCATCCCAATTTAGATTTACATAGAATGTTTGACTTTTAATCAATTTCTGTACATCTCAACACCAATTAATGGCATGTTACATTTATGTATGTGGACTGTTGTGCAATATAAATAATCCTGCCAGCAGACCATCTTTGGCCATTTGGGAGAAACGCATTAAATATTTTGTAGTCAGACCATCGGGGTAGAGGGTCTAGTGGGGCTCTGTGCTCTAATCATTTATTTTATAAATATACATAAAAATATATGGAGTCTGGTTTTGGCTAGCTCTCACAATAACTTAAAATATTTTGTTACATTTAAAAAAAAAAAAAATCAGCTATAGAAAAGACAAAATACCTATTTTAATGGAATTGAACTTAAGACAAAAAAAAAAAAAATCCATTGGCGGCTGTACTGTTAAAATGAGTGGATTTGTAGCATGCGTTCGTGTTCTGATAATGTACCGTGGTAAGTAAACGTAACACTTGCTACAAATAAGACCATCTTACGAACTTGACATTGGCTAATTTATCATATTTTTGCTTGGTAACTTTTACGGAACATTTTCTGCTGTAAATCTACAAGCTGAGTTTGCTAACTCTGGTATGAAGTTGCAAGTGCTTTACTCCAAAAAACAGCATTTGGGACCCCACGGCCTTTGTAGTGTAGAAATAAAGCCTTTCACAATTTGAGAACACATTAAACTTTGGTTATTTTTTTTTACTGCATTGTCCATACTCTCTTTCAAAGGGAAGGGGGTTCTAAAGCAGCTTTGTTAAAAATGCCAAAGTCTCAAGCAATGCTTCAGTCACTAAAAGACTAGCAGTTTTCTCCCCATTAAATCCCCTGGTTTTTCTATATTAGTTTTGGCAGGAATTTTAATATTTGTTCAGATGGAAAATATATCGCTTTAGCAAAGAAACTGAGGGCACTATAGTATAAGACATTTTGGCTAAACCATTTGCCTGGTATCATGGACTCAGCCTACAGACCAAAGTCATGGCAGTATTGTGCAGTAAAAGCACTAACAGATATGTGCAATGAGGCACAGTTTGAGGAAAGCATCTAGGGGCTAGGTGGTGCATAATATCTTCACAACTATTGTTATCCATAAAGGAAGCAGCATTTTACGTACAAAAAAATTAAAAATGTAAGGGAACATACACTTTGTAATGAACCATTGCCCGTATTTTGCTCTTAATACCCAACGCAGAACTGTTATCCTAGTGGGTGAAATCTAACCTACATCAAAATTAATATTCTCTGACATTCCGCTGTATAGCATAACCCCCAGGATAATACCATAGCAAGGAGCAACATACACTTGGCCTTCAAGGTGCTATCTACAGAGGTGCTTTTTGCAGCATTCTTCCTGCGAATTGGCATTTGAATCCTGAGAGATCTGCATGCAGCATTTTCTTTAGCTTGGGGATAAATGGTCAAGCATAGCGACAAGTGCATATCAAAAATTTTAGTGTTTCTTTTTGCAAACTAGATCCTTCTTTTGAGGGTGAAAGATTCATATAACAGCATACACGGCTCCAATCCATGTTCCAGATTAATTCCAGTGTTCCAGGTTTGTAGTATTTACATAAAAAAATAAAAATACAAAGTACATTTGAAGTCCACCTGTGTTTCTATTTAACAGGTGTTCCGTGAGCCCTGAAGCGATAAAGACATGTATAATCTGTATGGCCCCAGTTGGAGTATATCCGCAGTTCCACAATCTGAAAGGATTTCTCATTTTCTTCCTGCATGATGGAAAAATGCAGATGCATTTAAATGGTGAAATCATGTACAACGTAAAAAGTCTACAAATGTCTATTTCACACCTTACAGTGAAGAAGGCTGAGCTTTGGTTAGTTTTCATGCTTAGAGTGTCCCTTTAAATCAGAAAAATTAAAAGGACCACTATAGGCACCCAGACCACTTCAGCTCAATGAAGTTGTCTGGGTGCCAGATCCAACCAGTGTTAACCCTGCAGCTGTAAACAGCAGTTTCAGAGAAATTGCTATGTTTACACTAGGGTTAATCCAGCCTCTAGTGGCTGTCTCCCTGACAGCCACTAGAGGCGCTTCCATGCTTCTCACTGTGAAAATCACAGTGGGAAGACAATGGACGTTTATAGGAAAGCATTGAGAAAAGCTTTCCTATGGGCTGTTTGAATGTGTGCGCAGCTCTTGCCGGGGGAGCACAGAGAGGTAAGTGTTTAACCCCTTTAGCCCAGCAGGAGTGGGACCCCAAGTGTGGGGGAACCTAAAGACCCTATAGTGCCAGGCACTTTTTCCTGGCACTATAGTGGTCCTTTAAATTTGGAAAAAAGTTTTGCGATCCTAATTAAAATGATTTCAGAGATATGCGATTTAAGGCTTGTTTAGAAAGCAAAACACCTGTCAAAACACCATCTTGTAAAGCCTTCCCACCCCCTGCAATTTAGTTTAGAGCGCTCTGATTGGTTGGTTTAAGCCAACCAGAGTGCTCTGACAGGTAAATGAAGAGAACTCTCAAGGTAAGAATTATGGAACACATAAATAATATAAAAAGAGGTTTGAAAACCCATTTCGGTTCCGGTACATTGCAATTCCTGTCCTGATTTTACTTTTAGAGATTTCAAATGCAAAGGCATAGAACAGGTTCTCCCTTACTGCAGAGGATACTATCAAAAAATTATCCCAACGGGAGACTTATTGGATCTACAGGATGCAAACCCTGGAGCTGAATGGATTAAATTTAGATATTGATCTTGTGTGTTTCATGTGAACATCTATTGTTCTTTCTTAGTGTCTGGGGGGGGTAGAGAGAGAAAACAATTGCCTGAGGACAGACATTAAGCAGGGTCATGAAATATTCGTATGTATATATGGAATTTGTATTTATATATGTTTTTGTCTTTAATAATATGGTACTTTAAATTATACTTGTATAAGAATAGTATCCTCAGTATGAAATAACTCAAATGTATAAGAGTAATTTGTTGAATACATTTTAAACAACCTATTATTGGTTATACAAAATTGATATACAAAGAATATGCTTTGCTATATGCCAATATGTAAGATGATTGCTGACAAGCTTTTTGCTCTTCTCAAAAACACTAATACACAACGTACACGCATGCGTTAAGGCGTATGTCACGAACCCAGAACACCAACGTGGGAAAAAAAGAATCCAAAACAGCTGAGAGTTTCACAACGGCAATCACCAACCACATCAGAAGAACACTCATGGAGCCACCAATCAACAGCCAAGGAATACACCTGTATAAGGTGTATGTTGGGGGAGGTACTTTAGGCAGATTATATTGGTATACTGCATTCTGTAATTACTAAGTCCCTGAGGAAGTTCCAATAAGGGAACGAAACGTGTAGGACTTATTCTTGTGTTTTATACCTTTTAACTTATTGGCAATAAAATAGCTTTTTTACCACCTTCCTGATTCCTGCTCCGTTTATATATCTATCTGAAGAACGCTAAAAGGAAAGAAGAGGAAGATCACTCTGAATCCCCCACTGCTACCGGGGGAAGCACCCTACAGGCGATTATCCTGATATCCTGTGAGTATTATATTGGCGTGTCATATTGTTTTAGAGGATACTACACTTATTTTGTTTGTTCATTTATTTTAGGTTTACAGCTGTATCCTTTTTCTTACACATTCCATAAGTCTCTAAATGTACCAGTCACTGCACTATGATTGGTTCAGCTTGAAATCCAACCAGAGTGCTCTTTGTCATTTTACACAGCATGGGAAAGTTGTTTGGAATTTTCCCATGCTGTGTAAATTGACTCATAACTCTCTGGTTGTCTGATAGCAACCAATCAGTGTTAAGAGGCAAATTACACAGCATGGGAAAATTCCAAAGAACTTTCCCACGCTGTGTAAAATGACAGCACTCTGATTGGGTGGCTTGAAATCCACGCTGTGTAATTTGACTCATAACACTCTGATCAGTGGGCTTGGAATCTAACCAGTCAGGAGTGCTCTGTCATTTTACACAGCGTGGGAAAATTCCAAAGAAGTTTCCCACGCTGTGTACAATGACACAAAGCACTCTAATTGGATGGATGTCAAGCTACCCAATCAGAGTGTCATTTTACACAGCGTGGGAAAGTTCTTTGAAATTTTCCCATGCTGTGTAATTTGCCTCATAACACTGATTGGTTGCTATCAGACAACCAGAGAGTTATGAGTCAATTTACACAGCATGGGAAAATTCCAAACAACTTTCACACGCTGTGTAAAATGACAGAGCACTCTGGTTGGATTTCAAGCTGAGCCAATCATAGTGCAGTGACAGGTACATTTAGAAACTTACCGGTCAGTCTCTTCATTTACCTGTCAGAACTCTGGTTGGCTTAAACCAACCAGAGCCCTCTGAGCCCAATTGCAGGGCGTTGGAGGGCTCATAGGTACACCCCTCCCCATTTTCATTTAGGGCCCCCACCTGCCGCTCATGGGTGGAGAGAATTGTGGGAAAATTGCTTTGATCACCGGAAATGAAGCACACTTTGCTCCTCCGCTGGTCAGGTGTATGAAACCTCCATAAAACATAGTCCCTACTTTGTCTTCATTTTTTTTTAAAGAAAACTAGAGCAGATAGGAAGAAATGAAGAACAGATCCTGACAGAGGTTGAGAAGAGTAATTGATTAAAGAAAGGTAAGCTCGTCATAACTGTGCCCCTTTAAAATGTCATGCAGAACAAAAAAAATAAATTCTTAATTTCACATTTTTATATATTTTATTCATATTCAATTATGTTTCATAGCTAAATATTTGATGTTAACTGAAAGCCCTATTTCTCCTGAATAAAATGATAAACAACAAGTGTGGGTTCACTTAAAATGAAAAAGGTGAATTACAGTTGAACAGACAGACTGCAAGTTTTGTTTAAGTTTTATTTTGATCAAAACGTGTACATTTGGCTCAGTCCTTAAGGAGTTAAATCAGTTTCAATCATACAACACCAGATAGGGTCCCTTGCTTCCTATAGCCATGTCCTCACTGGCTGTGTGGGCCAAACTGATCTACACTTGAATGGGCACTTTGATAGGCTGAAACCAATCACAGCCACCCATTATGGATTGGGCTAATGCTTCATTAGCTAGAGCAGCACAGGAGGGATGAGGCGCTGGGAACTCTGGCACCACATTGAAACATTAAAAAAAAGTAATAGAATGGAACGATGGCGTCAGGGGACTCCAGAAACTGTAGCCTCTTTAACGAGCTATAGCAGTTACCATGCGTATATTGACATGTGAGCATACCACATATCAAATAACATAGAAACAAAAATACAACCGTATCCAGTGCTCCAAAAAAAGTTTTACAAGGTGCCACTGAATGACTGCACCCATTTTCTTCCTCCTGTAACCAGTAGGACCCAATATGATGTAGCTTTCATGTTATTAGCTTCAAAGATGAAAAATGACAGTCGTTAACACTGCACTATTTTATTAATAACCAACTCCAGCATATAGTTTAGTTGCAAATTAGAGGCATTGTGGCAGACCAGCTGTATATATTTTCAAAAGCAGAAACCATACTCCAGTGTCCATAAACAATGTCACATTAAAATAACAAAAATGCTCATTGAGTGCCAACATTTACAGCAGAGCATCATGATTCCAGGTTTCAGAATGATTCTCGAGAGATCTGATGTTTCTACCAAGTTACATCAGAATGCACTGAGAGCTACTGGGTGTAGCTGGCTCACAGCAAATTAGCAGCTGTATATTTAGCTTCAGAACAGAGTCCCACGCATAAAGCGAGTTTGAGGGTAGATGTTTTTAGTAGGAGTATATCGAAAAATAGCATTCACAGAAATGTAAACAAATAGAAACCTTAGTGGCTGCAAACACCTATTCGTATTTATATAGCGCCAACCTATTCCGCAGTGCTTTACATTATAAAAGGGGGAAATTTAACAATAAGGCAATTACAGAATGTTACAGGAACAATAGATTGATGGGGACCTTGCTCAAACAGGCTTACAGTCTAGAGATTGTAGAGTGTTAAAAATGCAATAAAAAGGGCAGCATGGAGATAGCAACGAAGCAATAGGGTGTGAAAATAGCAGAAGTGGAATGAAGGTGACAGTGGAATGTGGCCCTTTAAGAGAGCAAGAAACATGTTTGTAAAATAAAAGTTACTTTGGGAGGTCACAAGAGGTGATGTTTGGGGGGACTTCTTAAATAATGGAAGGCTAGGAAAAAATTCTGAAGGAAGTAAGCAGGCTGTTCCAAAGGAATGGAGCCACCCGTAAGTAGTTCTGCAAGCATGAGTTAGCAGTAAGGGTGCGAGCAGATAGCAGGAGAAGGTCACCAGAGCAGCGTACTTACCAGTTAGTAAAGAAAAGTAGCGAGAGGTAGAGTTGTTTAAAGCTTTGTAGGTAAGGGTTAGTATTTTGAATTGAGTACTATAGGATACAGGAAGACAGTGTAAGGCTTGACAGAGGAGGGAGGTGTGTTTCCCTGCTTGAGCACAAATCACAGACAGAAACCGAAACTCGTTTATGAATGAGCAGGTCTGAGTTCTGTTTGCCTGATATTCAAGCCTAGAATTTCACATACCTGATCAGACGTATCAAAACAATATGCAGATCCACACAAACAAAACAGATCAGCAGATAATCTACCCCCGAAAAAATATATAATCTGTGGTTCCAACTCTTGTGTATTTAAAGATAGATATTCTAGTAAGATGCTGAATCGATCTAAATACAATCACCCTTTACAGAATGATTACCTGCTCTTTCAATGGTTAGTAAATCCATGAAGATTGATGCTGTTAAAGGATAATCTGCACTCAATTCACTACAGACTGTCAAACAACAATGTAACCAATTCCCTGCTCTACTTTAAAATCTGAGCACACTAAAGCCTAAAGTATGTGTAATTACATACGTAATGTGCGCCAGGTTTGGTTACATTAAAGCATATTGCTTTGTGACAATAGGAAAATACATTTACCGTCAATTTGAACATTTGCAGTGGTTCTCCTTCTTGATCATACATTGAATGGACCAAGAGAGTGCCATTTTCCTGATACTCATCTTCTAAGCCCTGTGAAATTAAATGACAAGACACAAAGATCAATGTCAAGTGAAAATATAGTTGTGCACAGTGCTTTGCCAGAAACACAACAAAAAAAAAAAAACGTTAAATCCAAGATCAGCATCTTATCCAACAAAAGAAAAACAAAAAATTAGTAAAAGAGCATCTGGCTTTATTTGCGTTTTACCTGTGTTATAAAAGCATATAGTTAAAGGAATACACCAAGTGCCACAACCATTAGTCTGATATAGTGTTTGCGATACCAGGAGTACTCTGGTGCCCCCAGGTCTTAGCTCAGAAGAACTAACAGAAGCTCCCAAGCAGGGCTCTGTCAGATATAGTGGAGGCAGAGAGTGGTGCCTGGCGGATCACAGGTTAAAAAAAAAAAAATAATCAAACTGTTCTAAAAGTATGTTTCAACAACTTACAACTGACGGGACACCTAGGTATTCCTGGCAACAGCTACAGCTCAGTGTAGTGGTTATGGTGCTTGGAGTGTTCCTTGAAAGGGTTCTGTCAGGACAAATACAACTTAATCTTAAATGACAGAATCAAATTTAATCTATACATTGTGCTAGCAAAATAACTAGCAAATGTCTAGATTCCTTTAAAATCAGAGGTTAATCCCTGGTTACACCCAGCCATACACGTATCTGATTCCAGGTCTTAGGTACTTGGGTACTGGGTCGGGTTACTCCTTTGCCTGCAGATTGGGGGGCTGGGTGCCTATAGTGTCCCTTTAAGGCACTGCTGGAAAAATTCACCAAGTCAGCTAAGCATTCAATTGGATGCTCTCGCAGTTAATTTAAAATCCACTTTGAATTTAGTGAATAATCCTACTAATGTTGGGGACATTTAATCTTTATGGGAAGCAAGTCTGTTTTCCCAAACAGGGTTATTATAGCACAGCAAGTGTAATACCCACTAAAACACAATTGTCTCAGTAGGAGACAGAGGTACAGGAAATAAAATGAAAATGAGCTTTTTTTTATAGTATTAAGGGTAGAAAAACTTACTCCATAGCATGACAAATTCACTTAAAGGGACACGCCAGGCACCCAGACAACTTCTGCCTATTTGAGTGGTCTGGGTGCCATCCCCCACCACCCTTAACACTACAAGTGTAATTATTGCAGTTTTCTAAACTGCAATAATTACCTTCCAGGGTTAAGTCCTCCTATAGTGGCGGTCTTTCAGACAGCCACTAGAGGGACGTCCAGGTTCTTAAAACAGGAAAAGTGTTTTAAACGACGCTGGACGTCCTCACGCTATGCAGGAGGACTTCCAGCGTCGCCAGAATCCCCATAGAAAAGCATTGAATAATGCTTTCCTATGGGGGGGTCTAGTGAGCGCAGCCATTGCCACTCATGCGCGTTAAGTCTCCCCTGCCGGCAGACGTCGGCGGGGGAGGAGTGTGGGGAGCCTAACCCAGCAACACTGGGATGTGGGGGTGGGAGGGAGAGGGGCACTGCAGGGTCCTGCAGTGTCAGGAAAATGGATTTGTCCCTTTAAGGCACTTAAAGGCAAAAAAAGTTTGAAAATTATGTTGATCATGTAGAAGCGAGTATAACATTTTATCACTTTTGACAAGTTTCATCAACTGTAACAGTCTTAGCCAGGTTAGCATTATCAAGTTCACCCATATTTGACAAAATAGCCTTTCAAAGCTATCCAAATATAGTCAAACTTAAAGGACCACCATAGGTGAAGTGGTCTGGGTGTCAAGTCCCCCTAGTTTTTATGTTTACACTGCAGGGTTAATCCAGCCTCTAGTGGCTGTCTCCCTGACCGCCACTAGAGGAACTTCCGCAATTTACACTGAGTAAATCACACTTATTGGACGCTGGACGAGATCACCAGTGCCAAGAGAGCCCGGCACTGGATTAAGGATAGCAAATAAATTGTTAATGAATAATTTATCCGCCATGGTACGGGGGCCTAGTCACCTATACTATATTTGTATTCCTAACACTATAGTGCTCCTTTAATTGTGCCAATGCCACAGTGCACTCCAAATCCCCAGGTCACACTGCTGGAAACAGAAGACCAGTAAGCGGTAGCACCAAAGCCACTGCAATGGAATATTCAATTTATGTCATATTTAGAGTGTCATTTATCCAGGATGCATAGTATTTGCAAGTGCTTCACTGAATTCCAAGCATACAACTATGAAGATCTGATCCCATTCTACATCTCAAGAATTCCCTTTTTCACACGTGGGACCTACCATCACGAACTTTGATAAGTTTTGGACTACTGCTAATTATCTATTTTATACAATATTTTAAATATATTAAAAATTGTTTTACTATTTATTATTTTATTATTCTGAGTATATATTTTAGGCGCACCCTTATTGTACTGTTTATTATTTGCAAGTGTTTATAGAAAATGAACAACCAGCTTAAAATAAAAAGCTGCCACTTACATATACAGCAAAATCTTTAGGAGCACTTGTGATGTTGCCAGTTGGTGAGAGTGATCGTGGTATGTGTTCCAATGAGAAAGACGTTGGGTAGATCTTCATTGACAGTCTAACAACAAGGTAGCCTTGAGCTCCTTTAAATGCCCAACAGTTTCCTGGATACATATCGGGCTAAAAAGGAAAATATAAAGATGACAGTATTCAATATTTTAAGATGAATTGTCATTACCTGGTTTTCTGCACAGCATATAGAGAACTAAAATATAGTGGCGATCATTCATAGGTTTGTATGGGATCATATAATGAATGCAGGAAAACACATGCACTCAGGCGTCACTAGAAGTAAATGCCCATGTGTTCAGGAGTGAGCCAGGAGAATTATCAGGTACTGTGAACACCTCACCCACAACAGTTGGACTACTTTTGCTGCACCCTTACCCCAGTAAACATTTCAGTTGTATTTACTCAAAATAGGGAAGCTGTCACTATAATGAAAAGGAAACCTCTCCTTTAATCAAAGTTTATGTAAGCAAAGTCATATATCCTTTGCCTAGATACGGGGAACACAAACATTACTTAAATAAAAAGTTATAAAAATACACACACAATCAATTTTATTCCTAAGAGTCCATGAGATGTAGGCAAATTCTAACAGACCCAATTCTCGGTCACATCTGCACTTATAATACAAGAAATATATGATGGTTCATGATTGACCAGGTTCATATTGAGACACTATCTGATTTTTCCACCTGCTTGTCATGAAACTTAAAGGGACACTATAGTCACCTGAACAACTTTAGCTTAATGAAGCAGTTTTGGTGTATAGAACATGCCCCTGCAGCCTCACTGCTCAATCCTATGCCATTTAGGAGTTAAATCCCTTTGTTTATGAACCCTAGTCACACCTCCCTGCATGTGACTTGCACAGCCTTCCATAAACACTTCCTGTAAAGAGAGCCCTATTTAGGCTTTCTTTATTGCAAGTTCTGTTTAAGATTTTCTTATCCCCTGATATGTTAATAGCTTGCTAGACCCTGCAAGAACCTCCTGTATGTGATTAAAGTTCTTATGTTCGAGTACTTTAGGTTCAAGATGCAAAATGAGTGGTCTATTAGGAAGAAATGGCCCAGTGCATACAGAGACACAACCTAAAGACATGTGGTAGGTCATGTAAATGTGTACATTTGCATTTAACCAGTCTGTCCCTGCTCTTTGCATCTCTTAAAGGACCACTCTAGGCACCCAGACCACTTCAGCTTAATGAAGTGGTCTGGGTGCCAGGTCCTTCTAGGGTTAACCCATTGTTTTACAAACATAGCAGTTTCAGAGAAACTGCTATGTTTATCAATGGGTTAAGCCTTCCCCCAAAGCCTCTAGTGGCTGTCTCATTGACCGCCGCTAGAGGCGCTTGCGTGCTTCTCACTGTGAAAATCACAGTGAGAGCACGAAAGCGTCCATAGGAAAGCATTATGAATGCTTTCCTATGCGACCGGCTGAATGCGCGCGCAGCTCTTGCCGCGCGTGCGCATTCAGCCGACGGGGCGGATTGGAGGAGGAGAGGAGGCAGAGAGCTCCCCGCCCAGCGCTGGAAAAAGGTAAGTTTTAACCCCTTTCCCCCTCCATGAGCCAGGCGGGAGGGGGTCCCTGAGGGTGGGGGCCCCCTCAGGGCACTATAGTGCCAGGAAAACGAGTATGTTTTCCTGGCACTATAGTGGTCCTTTAAACTAAAGCAATGTTCCTAAGAGCCACTAAAAAATGCATAAAATACATTTTAAAAGGTGGTCAATTAGCACTTCATATAGTCGCAGTGTGGATCTCTATAATACCCATGTCTGCTTACTACATTTGAACCACTTGCATATGATATTCCAATTCCTATGTTAACCCACCCAGCACAGGGTTCAACAACATCTAATACCCCTAAGTTGTTTCCAGATTTGTTGGTTTTGGTGTACTACATTAAAAAAAAAAAAAGATTTAAGTAAACCAAAAAAAAAAAAAAGACACACCCCCATAATAAATAAAACTACAATGTTGCCAATTGACATCACAACGCTCAGTGTAATTCCTATTGGTTATTAGTCTCACCTGTATGACCACTCTGGGGGATTGCGAAAAATACCACAATGGAATTCCGAAGAGACTCAATAGTGCCGTTTTTGTTCCATAGGTCTCTGAACAACGCGTGCCCAATATGCTCCCTCCTAGAAAAAAAAAAAAAACAAGACAAATTGTACATTGTGAATAGCAGAACAATGTTCTCATTCAACATCTAATAGGGTAACGGTCATAATTATTGGGGAGTGTTGGGTATTCTGACTTCACCTGGTTGTGTCTGTCTTCGCTGATCATATACAAGACCGTCCTATCTGGGGCATCAAAACGCCTTGAGTATTTACACTGCTTTGATGATGGGTGTGCCCGATTTTACCAGTGTCCAAGCCACAGATGAGATTTTTTTTTACTCTAAAAACTTACATCTAACTGCACATTTTCAGGTATAGCTACCTGAAAAACATCTTTAAGAGTAAGAACATTTTCATGTCTTATTGCTTATTCTTAATGGATCCAGTCTGGTTTCCTGCATCTGGGCTACCTGTTGCATACTGTAGTGGTGACGGAGTAATGGCATTTTCAGTTAATCTCTCCATATCTGAATTCTGGTACCTAGAAGCACACTGGAAATTTTTACCCATATCGCTTCCAATGTGCTATAGCACATATTACGTACCTGTCTAACAAAATCTTTAATTTATAGAAATGTCTAACACACAAGACTTCCCTTACTTTATCATCTTTAACATGTGTAAATAGGACAAAAATGTAGAATGTGTTCTCTAGAATACCTGGATGACTATGTTACTTTTACGCACACCCTATAGGCTCCATTTCTTTTGAGACCCTTACAAAGCTGCAACTACAAAAAGCATTAAGAAAAAAATACTTCACTGCACAACCATTTCATTTAGATCATCACTTTTTGCATTCCACACTCTTATTTAAATTGTTATTTAACATTACCTGCTCATTTACTAAATATTACTGTCCAAAGTGCATTATGTTTTTCCTTATTCAGAGCCTGGAAGTTCAGCAGTTTTCTAACATTGGTTACAAATCCATTTAATCAAGACTACTACAGCCTGCCAATGGATTCCAATTATTGTGCACCACTATGCTCCTACAACAGGGCTTGGCAAATTTGCTTTGAATCTTGGAGCCAGGTTTTTCAATGTAAAAAATACAATACTTAAAAGGAAACAATCACCAGAAACACTACAGCTGCAGTCACTGTTCACTTTTTAATGTAAACAATGCCTAGTAGCACTTCTAGCGACAGTCACTCAGACGGGCTCTACAGGTACACCCAGAATGACATATTCCGGCTCCAGTCATCACTGGATGGCGCGCGAGGAAGCAGAGCAGGGAGCTCCCTTGCCGCCAGCCTTAACCCTCCCTAAGCTGCTAGCCTGCCCACTCATGCTCTCCTTGAGCAAGCAGGCTGACCACCCACCTCCATTCACAGGCAGCTGGTCATCACAGGGGCAGAAAAGGCTTACAAATCCCAGGTGGCAGGACAAAAATCCTAGTAGCCATGGTGATCTGGGACATGTCGCGTCCTGTCCTATAACAATGAATTTTAACAGGTTTCTCAATGACTTGCACACCCCATCTTTACCTAGATCTGCCCAGAACCAATCCCTATGTACAAAATTGAATTGGGTTTTCGTAGAATTATATCCCTTTAGACAAAGCCATATATTTTCTTGTATCCTGCATCTAGAGATGAATCAGAATATAACTCACCATGTGCTACGGATGCCGAGTACAATATTACTTAAAGGGACATTGTAGGTATCCAGACCACTTCATCTCATTGAAGTGGCACAGGTGCAGTGTCCTTGTCCAAAATAATCCTGTAATGTAAGACATTGCAGTTGACACCTACATCACCAAGTGCCGAAGGCCCATGTGGCAGACAAGATGGAGACATACAAGCCTTACTGTCTCCTCTGCTCACCCTAGCAACACATTTAGCAAACTCGAGCAGATCTTCACAGCCTCTTTCAGTCACATCTCAGAGAGGAACACAGCTTGATTATCTGACCTGCCGGAGCAAACCTATAGCAGCATTTCCAATCTCACGTTGCTCTGATGCAATGAGACCTAAATCTATGCCATATCCTAGTCCCGGTCCACCTGCGCTGTTAGGCCGCAGCCTTATGTTCGCGCTTCAGTGATCTCTGGTCTGGGGCTGCATAAAAGCAGCGCTCTGAAGTGTTACTTTTCCAGCTTGATGAGCGGACGCTGAATTTCTGAAGCTGAACTGTGGCGGAGCAGCAAGAGAACCTTCATTCCAAGTGGTGGAAGGCTGGAGATCGTTTGAGTGGTTGCATATAGTACAATTGGCTCAGACAAAATATTCGACTGTTTGAGAAAATACAGTGTTTACATTGCAGTACTAAGACTGTCACTAGTGCCTGTCTACCAAACTGTCACTGGAGCAACTTCCTGGAGGTTCCCGGAGTTTGCATGAGGACATTCAGCATCAGAAAAACCCATAAGAAGGCACAGAGGCAGCGCTTTTCTACGGTTAAGGTCTAATGCATGTGCGGCACTGACCACACATGAGCATTAGGTCCAGCATTGGATGATGTCGGAATGCGTCCCAGCGCCGAGGGACATCAGTGCTGAAATTGTGTAAGCTATTAAAGGGTTTAACCCATTATGTGCCAAGGGGACAGGACCAGAGGGCACTATACTGTTAGGAATACAACTTTGTTTTATTAACACTATCTTTTTTCCTTTAACACCCACTAGTTTCACTTTAGATAGGTCTAATGACAATTTTAAATCCACATCTTGATTTCTTTAAGATCCTGTGTCCGGGGTATGGGGATTCATTTCAGCAGCACCTTATGAAAATGTGAGCTTAGGCAGGTGCAGTTCTCTTGTATGCTTATTGTCCTAGTAGCAAAGGACAATACATACTGAATAACAAAAGGATTGGAAGTTGACCAAGGCATCTGGATAGATCTGTGCAATAAAAGCTAACTCAGGCAACATTGGTAATCATTACACAGACGTTCCTACCTCCAGACTCCAAAGCATAATCGACCATGCCAGTTCTGTCTTGAGAATATAGTTTTAGTGCGTTTTTGACAATAACGCGTGCATCCTGTGAATATACAATAAAAATAGCCGTTAGTAGCTCAGTGCAAGGGGTAAAGACTAGCGCTTGACAAACATCTATCATAGTGCACAAGGGTTGTGGCAGACGTGCCCAGGCACACCCTAATGAAAGGCTGAATGTCCTACAGTTACCCATTTTCTTCTGTATGTTTAGGTCTAGAAAAGTTTGCTCAATACCTGGTCACATATTAAAGGACCACTATAGCTTAATGAAGTGGTCTGGGTGCCAGGTCCAGCTAGGTTTAACCCTTTTTGCAGGAAACATAGCAGTTTCAGAGAAACTGCTATGTTTACTTTAGAGTTAATCCAGCCTCTAGTGGCTGTCTCATTGACAGACGCTAGAGGAACTTCTGCGCTTCTCACTGATTTTCACAGTGAGAAGACGCTAGCGTCCATAGGAAAGCATTGATAATGCTTCCCTATGAGACTGGCTGAATAGCCGCGCATGCACATTCAGCCGGTGACGGAAGAGGGAGGAGAGTCTCAGCGCTGGAAAAAAGGTAAGGGATTAACCCTTCCTCCCCCTCAGCGCCACAGGAGTGGGACCCTGAGAGTGGGGGCACCCTCAGGACACTATAGTGCAAGGAAAAAGTGTTTTCCTGGCACTATACTGGTCGTTTAAGACCATGAACAATTACAATCTTTACAGACAGCTGGTTATCACTAGAACGATAGGTGGCATTTTGTGCTTTTTTAAAAATATAAACGGTCCCCTCATTCACCCAACACAATGTGCCTCCCCCCATGCAATAAAAAGGTGTTTAAACTCACCTTTTTTTCCCATGCTGTGCCGGTCTCATCACTGCTCCATGGCGGAGATCAAACTTTATGATCTTATCCAATCCTATACTTTCCCATAAGAAAGAATTGGGAGGCTATTGCTCAGGCTAAGACGCTGCTCTGTGCCAGTCAGCACCTCCTGAGAAATGCATTGTATCAATGCATTTCTATAAGAAACATTCAGCATCTCCATGCTGTGCGTGGACTAGGATGCACTTCTAATGACTGAGTGACTGCTACTAGAGGTGTTACTAGGCAGAGATGTAGACACTGCCTTTTCTATAGCCAAGGGCAGGCAACAGACACCAAAACCACTACATTAAGATGTAGTGGCTCTGGTGACCATAGGGTCCTTTTCTATTAAGTCTATTAAGCCCTAGTCACACCTCCACTGGCTGAGACTTACACAGCCTGCATGAAAAAATAGTTTCATTTTCAATTAACTGTTTTAGTTTATCAGCGTGTAGTTCTAATCACATAATTTAAGGATTGTATGTGCAAACTGGCAAGGTTTCCAGAGAATTAACACAATAATAGGCTTCATTTTAACAGCTATTAGCTGAACTCAAGTGAATAAACCTACTTTTTTATGCAATCTTTATTTTCAAATATAATTTACTCAAACATTCTGCTATGGGTAAGGAAGCCTGGCAACTAAAACGAATACTATTTTAAGTTTTCCATCTAGGTTTGAAACAGTTTACCAAAATACAACTGTTGAATTCTATCAAAGAATCATCTTAATACACAGATCTTTATACAAAAAACAAACATCCCTCTCTATTCTGACTTACCTCTTCAGTGATGCCAGATATTCCTCCAGTCACTGCCTGTTCCACCATTGCAGCGGAAGGAACCTGCTTTGTGATTGACACATGGTGAGTAATGTTCTTAAGAATTCTAAGTTCCAGTTGCCTTAGAACATTATTAAAATCGTCCTTGCTCAAATAATTTGCAGAAAGCCATTGCTTGAAGGATTCTGGTAAGTTTTCTTGACTAGTAAACATCATATGCAGAGACTCCCTCACTTTGGCATCCACCTATTTAACAGAAACCAATACGATTAAGACTTAACGGGATATTTTTGAATAACATAAAATACTTGAAGTTCTTTTTAATAAGCAACATGTGCCAAATAAGAGCATTACAAATGTCTCAAAATATTGTACAAGGATATTTCCAATATGTTAACGAACAATGGGATCTACTCCCACTTACAGCTACAGTTCAATGGTTATCGTTATGTGAAACTGCAACAGTGAATATGGATAAGATTTATTGTCATCATCTTAACACCATGGAGCTCCAGCATATCTTCAATATGAGGCTGTCCTGATACATGGAAAGACTCTGCTAAAGTGCAAAGGGGAAAGTTTTAGATTAACCCGATAACTGACTTCATGTAAATCAAATAATTCAAATCTGCCAAAAATCCTTTACAATTGTGTTCCAAATTGAGATATTTTTTTTTTTATTATATATTTTTATTTTTTCAAGATTTCACAATTTACATAGTACAATCAATTCCTCTATTGCAACATTTACATTTCTAATATGTTTCCGTATATAAACAACATTTCCATTGTACAACGAATATAAATATTCATATCTATAGTTCACATAGATTGCAAAAAGAGGTAGATAAAAATACCTAAAACTTTACATTCACACATACATACAATCCCGGGGAACCAATCCTACACATCCACTTTTCCCGTCCTTCCCATAAGGTACATTGTTACTAAAGTTCCTCGAGAGTCAGTCTCGCATTCGGGGCGGCTCGTATCCTAAGAATTATAAGTTCTAATAGTTAGTAATAAAGTTATCAACCATTATTTCCCATTTACTGTATTTCTTCAAACCTACAGAGTTAACTAAAATTAATCCCTTTTCCATCTTACATTGATATATTACCTGTATTTTGATTTCACTCCACTGTATTTCTTTTTTACTTTTCCAGTTTCTAGCCACCGCTAACTTTACTGCCATTAAAATATGAATTATCAACATTTGTTTCTCAGGGGGCATAGAAGGCCATCCCAGATGTAACAAAAAACTTTGTGGTGTAAAGGGTATATTTAGCTGACATGAGTTAAAAATCTGCTTATATACCTCCTTCAATATTTTACTTAAAACTGTACAATACCACCAAATATGGAGATAATCTCCTTTCGCATCTTCACATCGCCAACAAAAAGAACTCTAGATACATTTTAGCCAATTTTTCTGGGACCATGTGCCATCTATTTAGGAGTTTATAAAAATTCTCTACTATGTTCAAGCAGTGTACCGATTTATTAACTTTCTCTATCGCATTTATCATATCTTGTTCAGAGATTACTATTTGTAAATCTTTTTCCCACTTACTCTTAGATTTCCAAAGAGGAGCCTTCTGGGATAGCTTTAAGAATTCATAACATCTAGAAATATGACCTTTAGTTCTATATGTTTCCATAATCTTCTTAATGTTACTTATATTTTTATTAAGCTGAATATCCAAGAATTTCGTCAAATAAAACAACTCTCAAATATGTAAAAACCTCCTTACTTTCAATCCCGAATTCTACCTGTAGCTGGCTAAATGACTTAAGATCCTTTGCGTCTATAATTTGTTGAATGTGCGTAATACCTTTTTGTATCCAACCTCTAATATTAATATCATCAATATTATTATTAATCACCTCCATAGGTAGAAAAGGGAATAATCTATATTCTATTTTATAATTTTTCTTAAATTTATACCAGAATCTCCATATACTATCTATAATTGTCGAATTTTCTGGATGAACCAAATAATTTTTTTCTAAATGCCTCCTTGTTGTCCAAAACAGGGAGGATAGGCTGCTTGTCTCTACTAGTGATTGCTCTATATGATGCCAAGATTGAACTTTTTGATCTATACTTAATGTGTTAACAGTATGGGCCAGCATACATGCGTCATGATATTCAATTATATTTGGGGCAGCAAGACCTCCCTCTTTTCTTTTCTTAGATATTAACTGTAAACTTATTCTTGGTTTTTTACCTTTCCAAATAAATTTAGAAAAGGCTGATTGTATCATTTTTAACCATGGATTGGGAACTTGTATAGGTATCATTCTAAAGAGATAGTTCCATTTAGGCAAAATATATGATCGAATAGTATTTATGCGGCCTATCCAAGAAATCTCCTTGCCTGCCCATTCTTTTAATAATTTATTAGTATTGTGACGAGACCAATCTCGCCACATTGCATTGAAGAAGCCTGGTTGCTCGCCTGCTGCCTTTGGACTATGGTCCCCTGTTAAAAGACATCTTTTTTACCTGCAGAAAAGCTTCATTCGTGCTTTTCTGCCTGGGGTTTGGTAGTTTTGGTTGAATGTGTTATACCCCAGATAGGAATCCCATGGAGCCCATTCATATGAAACTGACTGTAAAGACTTTGGCTCCATGGTGATTAAACTGTATTTGTGTGGTCTGAGCGCCATTCACTTAATAATGTGCGCTCAGACCTGAGCTATCTGGGGATATGTTACATGTCTGTGTTTTATGTAATGAATGTGACTTTATGTATTTTAAAGTGTTTTGTGTCTTTTTGCAACCATGTGCTTAATGGAGTCTTGTGTCTGTCCTGGGAGATAATTGAATTACTCTCCAGGATAGAAGACTCTGAAACTGGTTTGGGCCAGAAAGCCATGCTTCATTTAGTCACAAAGGACTTTTACTAACTTTTGAACCCCTTGTCTGATTTGTGCCATTTTTGAATATGTTGTTCCCCTGAATGGATTGATTGTGAATATGTAATTTTATGTGAATGTGATGTATGGTTTTAGAGTTATGAAAGTTGGGTAGAAAGTATGTTTTAACTGTATGTGTAATTGAGTTTCCTCTCAGGATAAGGGGAGGGAATATGTGGGATGTAACTGTGATGTGATTGGTTGTTTTATACCCTCCCTGTGGGTGGTCCTGTATTTGAAACACTGTAATAAAAACCAGGCTGGGTGTGCCAGCACCTCAGACCACTGCTTGACCCTCAACACGAAGCCTTGTCTCGTCTTTGGGGGGGATTTACTGTATGCTGCTAAGGACTGATTGCCAGGAGTGTGTAAGCTGATTTCGTCTGCTTTTCCTGTTCGCCTGCTAGCAGCTATTTGGGAGGTTCCAGTTCGGGAGTTATGCTATTTTGTATCCAGTCCGGGAGTTTGGTGTTCTGCAGTAGCTGTGCCTGCATCTCTGGAAAGGGGGCCGATCGCCTAAACGGTTTTTACCCCTTGTGTGCAAAACGGTCCGTTACAAGTATTTTTTATAAGAGGAAGAAAATTAACTTCAATAACTCTATTCATATCTCTTGTTATTTTTATGCCAAGGAATGAGATATATTCCTTAACCCAGACAAAATCATAGGATATTTTAATAAAATCCCTATCTTTCCTGGATAAATTAGTTGTCATTATTGTGGTCTTGTTAATATTTAATTTATAATTTGAGAATACACTATAATGATCTAGTATTCTTATCAATTCCGGCAATGATGATCTAGGATTCTGCATCATAAGCATGACATCATCCGCATATAGATTAATCTTATGTTCTAGATTATTAAGCCAAAACCCCTCAATCTTTCCGTTTTGTCTTATATCTTCTGCAAGAGGCTCAATGGTTAAAACATAAAGTAACGGGGAAAGAGGACATCCTTGCCTGGTTCCGTTTTTAATAGTAAACCAATCTGCCTCTATCCCAGGGCCAATGGTCCTAGCCGAAGGAACTGTGTATAGTGCCATAATGGCATCATAAACTGTTCCTACTATGCCATATGATTTCAATGCGTTTCCCAGAAAGTCCCATCTGACTCTGTCAAATGCTTTCTCAGCATCTAATGACAGGGTCAGAAGGGGAGCTCTTTTCCTATTCGCAGCGTCATGTACATCAATTATTCTTCTTAATCCGTCTGAAGCTACTCTGCCGTATACAAATCCAGCTTGATCCTGATGTATTAAAGTCGGAATACATATTTTTAATCTATCTGCAATAATTGAGGCGTAAATCTTTACATCCCCATTTAAAAGCGATATTGGACGATAATTCACCAATTTTGCTGGATCCTTATCCGGCTTCAAAATAGGAACGATATTCGCTTGAAGCATCTCCCTAGGAAACACACAATTTTCCACTATTATATTAAATATCCTAGCGAGACGAGTCGAAAGGGTATCTTTAAATATTTTATAAAATTTATTTGAATAACCATCTGGACCAGGGGCTTTATTTATCTGTAACTTGTTTATAGCTACTATAACTTCATCTGGGGTTATTGGTTTATTTATCTCATTGAGTTGTTCCCTAGTTATTTTTGGCATTTTTTTGTTTTTAAAATACTCTGAAGATGGGGGTTGTTGTCCCACTGATTCTAAGTTATATAATCAACTATAATAGTCATTAAAAGCTGACCCAATTTTTTTCGGACTTAATAACGTTTCTTTTCCTTCTTCAATTTTATGAATCCTCCTCATTTGTTTTTTGTTTTTCAATTTATTTGTAAGCAGCCTATCCGCCCTGTTACTCTTATAATACCAATTAATCTTTAGGAAATTGATAGATATTAAATCCTCAGTTACCACGCATCTATGCTTTGGAGATGAGCACCTTCACTTATCTTTCAGGTTTGTTTACTAAAAATCAAAATGTAGTGAAATAAAAGTGGGCTTGCAAAATTTAGACACTAGTCCATTTGGAAACATTCTAGCTCAGCTACAATTCCAGCTTGGCTATTTAGCCTAAAATTAATAACTCAGTTTTGGTTGACTATTCCTGTATTCAGTGAATTTCATCTCATTTTCTACTCAAATTGTTTAGTCCAGTGAGGCAACACCTAGCCACAACAAATGTTTAACTTGCTTGGAAAATAGATTGCTACCATTCCACCATCACTAAACCGTGCTTTCTGTGAAACGTTTGCACCTGGAACAAACCTCACAAATATTCAAATTCAAAATTGAATATGTACCAGTAAATGACATGTAGCATTCTGTGTGCTATAATTATGCAATATAAAAAAACTAAACATTCCAGGATTGCATTCTTAGCTAGAACATGGGAAATAAAGTAAACTCCATGATGTGGGGCACTTTGTCATGAATGTGGCGTTTATATTGCCCGATGCCCAGGACATGCCGTTCCGGGTACTGAGCAAGTAATTCTATTCTTTTAGCCCTGTGGGCCAACGGAAAGGCTGCCAGTGCGGTATTTGGTTCTGTGGAAGGACTTCTGGGGCCGCAGTAGAGTGCCAAGCACTGGGAAGTGGCTGCACTCACCTCATGCATATTGTATAGGGTGCTGCTGGGGCCAATTCAAACATACAAGATCCAGTGCACTCACAACTTCACCAAACAGCTATTTCAAAGCATGTAAGTTTTTTTGTTTTTGTTTTTTTTTTTAAACATCCCACCGAGGCAAAAAATAATGTGGGTTTAGTTACAGTGCATGATCATACATTGCATTAGACTGCTATAACGTCAATGTACCCATTTTTGCCAGGTCCTACTCCAACGCCTACTGTTCTATAAAATCACACACAAGCTTATGAGGGGAAACCCAATCCACATGACAAACAGCCTAAGGGGTTCCTTCATACACATTCAGAGGGGATGCTGGGACTCTCCTTGGACAACATTGGAACGCCTGGCAGTGGCGGATCCAGAGCCTGATCTCAGGAGGGGCACTTGTAGATTATTTAAAGAAATAATCCAGGCACAATAACCACTACAGCTCAGTGTAGTAGTTATGGTGCCAGAATCCCATCCCAGAGTAAGTAGTCAAGCCGTTTAAGAACAGTTTGACAACTTACCTGGGGTCTGCTGGGATATAGGGCATAGGAGTAGTGGTATGTGTGATGGCGGCAGTGTGTGTGCGTATGGGGCGGGGCGCGTGGGGGGCAGTGTGTGTAGTGTGGGTATGGGGGCAGTGTGTGTAGTGTGAGTATGGGGGCAGTATTTGTATGGGGGAGGAAGGAGGGTAGGGAGGCTTTTTAATAAAAAAAAAAATTTATTTAATAAAATAAATATTCATTATGTCCCCCCTCCCTTCTTACCTTTACTTAGAGAGGAGGGGGACATTTCTTAGTCCCTGGTGGTCCGGTGGAGATTAATTGGAGGTCCCAGTGGTAGGAGTGAACTCTAGCCCATAGCTCCTGGGCTAGAGTTCACTCTCGCGAGATTTGGAGCATTGCCGTGGTAACCGGGGCAACGCTCTGTGCTCGCAAGAGGAGGATTGTATAGATACAGATGCAAATGGTATCATTATTAATGATACAAATAAAACAAAAATCCAGGAACACAACTAATTCAGTAGAAGTATAAAACAGCAAACACCTTAAGGCTTTAATCCACTATGAAAATAGTACAGTATACTATTTAAAGTGGCAGTTCTACAAGGACTGAAATTATGGGTTTACTGGGCAAATTCTCTCATACAGGGGTGTCGCCCAAGCCCAATTTTTACATCTATATTTTCTCTCTTATACTCTTTCTTCCTGACTATTCATTCAGAAGTTTCTCAAATTAGATTGTTTTGCTTTAACATGACTGTTGCATTGTATCTACAAGTCCTGTAAAACAGATTAAATTTGAGTAAAGATTGCAAAAAACAAAACAAAAAAACAACTTAAAATTCCCTTAAAAGGAATAAAGCATCTCACCTTTTCAAGAACACAATCTGCATGTTCACAGTTAGTCCTGGCTGTTTTCTCCTTCAACAATTCGGCTTTATAAACCACAAACTCTTGCTCCAGACTCTGAATTTTACTTCTAAGAACATCCTGATTATCACCTCCACTGCTATAAAACAACCCAAACAAAAAAATCAATACATTGCAAAGAACTAAACCTTAAATAAGATCATAGTATTTAAACTGTTGCCAAGGCTGCCCTGGTAAGTGGATTTTAAATGCACAGTATACCCTTAAGGGAACTACCTACATATATATATGCATGCAATTGAGCAATGCTGAAATATCCAGGGCTGTGGGGGCATGGCACTTTATATCACAGGCAGTAAACTAGTTTTGTATAATTTGATCACAGACTACATATACATACAGCGGCGTACATACAGCGGTCGCAGCTGCAACCGGGCTCGTCACTCCAGGGGGCCCGGCTGCCTTGCGGGCCCTGGTGCGACTGGATACCTGGTGCCATCATTTGCAGCCCCGGCCACCCTCCAAGGGGTCCATCGGGTGGCCAATGCTGTCAGGGCCACCCGATGGATATGGATTGTAAAGGGGCCCGGTCAGTGCTGGGTGCTTTAACAGCGCGACTGGGCCCTCTGTGATTACATCACAAACTGGGAGGAAGTGACCGCACGTCACTCCTCCCAGCTAACAGCCGCGCGGGAGGAAGACCAGGGAGTCAGAGTGGGAACTCTGACGCCCATCCACCTGAGCCACAACTGGACCCCCAGGGAATGTCACCATCTTGCACCATAAAGGTAGAAAACAGGAGTGTGACAAGCATTGTGTGTGCGTGTGTGCCTGCCCGTCTGCAGGTATTGGTCTTTGCATGTATGCGTGTGCCTGTATGTATGTATCCGTCTGCAGGTATTGGTCTTTGCATGTATGCGTGTGCCTGTATGTATGTATCCGTCTGCAGGTATTGGTCTTTGCATGTATGCGTGTGCCTGTATGTATTTATCCGTCTGCTGGTATTGGTCTTTGCATGTATGCGTGTGCCTGCCTGCCTGCGTGCGTGCCTGCGTGCGTGCCTGCCTGCGTGCCTGTCTGTCTGTCTGTCTGTCTGCCTGCGTGCCTGTCTGTCTGTCTGTCTGTCTGCCTGCGTGCCTGTCTGCCTGTCTGCCTGCGTCTGCCTGTCTGCCTGCGTCTGCCTGCGTCTGCCTGTCTGCCTGCGTCTGCCTGTCTGCCTGCGTCTGCCTGTCTGCCTGCGTCTGCCTGTCTGCGTCTGTCTGCGTGTGCGTGTCTGCCTGTATGTGTGTGCGCGTGTCTGCCTGTGTGTGCGTGTGCGTGTGCATGTCTGCGTGCGTCTGCCTGCCTGTGTGCGTGTGCATGTCTGCGTGCGTCTGCCTGCCTGCGTGCGTGTCTGCCTGCCTGCGTGTCTGCCTGTATGTGTGTGCGCGTGTCTGCCTGTGTGTGCGTGTGTCTGCCTGTGCATGTGTGCGTGTGTCTGCCTGTGCATGTCTGCGTGTGTCTGCCTGCCTGCGTGTGTCTGCCTGCCTGCGTGTGTCTGCCTGCCTGCGTGTGTCTGCCTGCCTGCGTGTGTCTGCCTGCCTGCGTGTGTCTGCCTGCCTGCGTGTGTCTGCCTGCATGTATGTGTGTGTGTGTGCCTGTATGTGTGTGTGTGTGTGTGCGCCTGTATGTGTGTGTGTGTGTGCGCCTGTATGTGTGTGTCAGGCGGGGGCAGGGGGGAGGTTGCACAGATCAGTTTCACACCAGGGCCCCATGGATTGAGTGTACGCCACTGTATACATAAACAGAATATGGTTTCCTGTAACAATGCTGTCACATTTGTCATTGTTCCAGTATGGTCTTGTTATGCAAGTTAAAACCAAACGTGTACAGAAAACCTAACTACATGTCACAAACACTGGTCAACAAGACAGTTAAGAATTTTTAACTTTTATAAAAAAAAAAAAAAAACCTTACCTCGTCCTTAACTTTCGGTCTTCCTCGATAGCCTGGAAAGTAACAGATGTATGTCAGGAAATATAGAATGACTATAAATGGAAACTTATTACTTGACATGTGCTACAGGACTCTGGGAACTGTGGCTATATACCTCAGAGAGTTTTCCCAGAAGTGTTTCCAAATGTACGAGTCGAGCTTCGTAATCTGTGTTCATTAAATTGGAGTCACCCTACAGATAGAAAAGAGTAAGTCAGTCCCATAAGTCAGTTTAAGTGTTGCTGTAGGACAGGCATTTTTCTCATCACAAACTGACTATCTACCGTGGATTGGTCCTTCTGCTCAGTTGTCATTTTTGCCAAGCGTTCGTTTAGAATTGCGGTAATTAATAGTGATATCTGGCTCTGGTCACCCATTTTTGCAACCTGTTCTTGAATATTCTGCACCAGATGGACCAGCGTGTCATGGTCTTTAACGTGATGGCTATGGTTTGCAGCCATTAAAGCTAACCGATTTTCAAATTCTTTCATCTTATTCACAAACTGCAAGTCCATTTCCTAGAAAGACAAAAAGCAAAGGGCATTATAAATAATGTCTGTCCCTTTTCGATTGTTCAATTTTACTTCATGAGAACTATGGACATTGAGAGTATAGTGTTACGAATAGTTTTTTATTCCTAATGCCTAGTGTCACTTTACTTGCAGTAAAAAAAATAAAAAAAATACTTATGATAGCCTATTTACAATATTAAAGGAACACCAACATAACAAAAAAGTTAAATGGACACCGTAGGCACTGTAACTGCTACATCCATTTAGCACTAAACTGTTTAATGGTAATCAAATTCAAGCAGCAAATAAATGCCATTATCTCATTCTATTAACATCAATAGAAACTTTGCAGTTCCCATCTCCTGTTTCTGACTCCTCTATTCGAGTAGCTATTTGGTTCCCAAACTAGTCCTCATATCCCCCCTACCAATCCAGGATTTATGGAATACCCAGTTGTGTCTAAGGTGGTTTTTTTCTCTCCTTCTAAAAAAACCTTAGACACAACTGGGTAATTCGCTAATTCCTGGAATGGACTGGGAACCACTAATCTAGATTGTATGTTCCCATGGGAACTGGGCCTTCAACTCCTGTATTGTCAAATGTTGTATTTTCAGATATACTGTACCTTTTATCTTTTCACTTGTACCAGTTGTACATTGCTGTGGAATGTGTTGGCACTTTATAAAGCATACATAAAATGAATGAAATGACAGAACCATTAGACTCCAGACACAAACCAGTTCAATGAGATAAAGCAGATACTGTGCCTGCAGTGTCCTATTAAGCCTTATATTGCCTAGGCGGCACACAAAATATTCATGATTCACGGACGAAAAGTGTGTGTTAAGGCAAGAAACTCCAAACCGGTCATGTTAAAGTAAAACAAGCAGAATATGAAATGCATGCAAATAGTTAGATCCTGACTTTTCAGAGAAAACAGTGGCACTTTACCGGTTTGCCATGGCTGGGTACATCAATATCAGATGCTGGCTTGAAGTTTGTAACCGTGTCTTCAGCAGTTTGTCCTGCGTGCATTCTTACACCACCAAATGCTGGAAGCAGTGACCACAAATCTATAAAATTCCAATACCACAGACCTATAGAGAAATTAAAGCAAGCATTTAAACACACCGTTTATAAACAATTAACTTAAACAGACCATTACAGACTTTTCTAAAGCGCACATTTAGAGAAATTAAAATGTATATGAAGACAACTTAATTTAGCTATGTATAAGTTGTTTCTGGAAGCCTGTATTTTATTGCACAGGACTGACTTCAAATAACACTCCAAGCACCAGAAACACTACATCTTGTTGCGTGGTTAAAGTGCAAGAAGTACCCTTTTGCCCCCTAATGTAAGGAGTTGAACCATTCAAACATGGTTTAAGTTATTACCCGGTGCTACTCCCCTCAACTACCAAGAGACAAAACTTCCTTGGCAGGAACTTTCTTTAGCTCTCCCATGCCAAGCCCTGCAATGATGTGCTTAGCTCACTGGCTGAAAACACCGGCATTGCAGGGCTTAGCTTGAAAGAGCTAACAAGTTCTTGCACATTCAAAAGTGGTTTGGATTCCATACAGTAGGGGGCGCTAGGGTACACAACCACTACAGTGAGTTGTACTCATGTAGTTTTCACGTACTACTGTCACAGCATGGGTTTTACATTTTAGCCATGTTCTGATTAGCTGGTAACTCTTTACAGGGGTCAGTTTTTTCTTTCAATGAGGAGAGTTTGCAATTGCTATAGATATTACTCAGCACATTTTAATAAAGCATTTATGCTCTGTAAAAAAACATTGAGGGATGATAACTATCTGTGACATTACATCAACACTAAACACCAAAACTACATCTTTTTGTGGCAGATTTGAGATCTTCAATAGAAAGCATAAAAGGCCGAATAAAATGTAAGAGGCACACCAAGACATTCTTCATGGGACATTTTACAGCAACTATCACGTGTAAGGTCATTATGGGATTCCACTAACTTTTATAAGGTTTTTTTTTTTTTTGGTTTGTTTTTTAAACTTGACTGAAACCGAACAGTAGGATGTGTGTTCTCTGCTAAACAGAAAGCCGATAGGTTCATTGAAAAAAAACTCAGAAGTTCCACAAATGCAATTCGAAAGGAAAAACTGAGGAAAACCTACGAGAGACTTGACATTTTTCCAGAACAGCTATTTTTGCCTCAGTTTTTCCATTCAGATTTAACATGCAAAAATTAGGTGCAAAAATTAGAAGAGCACTTTTATTAAGCAACAAATGTCTTTATGCACTACAACACGGTCTAGCCATCGGGGGTTCTTTTTCAAGTTGCAAGAAAATCAAGTCTGGTGGGGATTTGAATTATGTGATTTTTCATATTCATGCAAGAGTTAATAAAGTTGTGTCTCATTTTTGCTTTGAAGTTACATAATAGGGTTATCCCGTTCTGGATACTCACCGGACGCATACTACTGAAGCAGTATCAACATTTCTTTAGTTATATACTAGTGTAGACTGTCTTCAACTGACTTTATACAAATAGAACTCCAATTACTAGTCCCGCAATTAAAAAACACTTGATTTCTCACACAAACAGAACTTTAAACAGACAATCTGAATTGGAAGTTGAGTCATAATCTTTGTATTGTAACAGGGACCTGTCACTTTAAAGGAGTGTTATCTTCATTTATTACATAAATAAAAAATATGCATTTTTGAGGAATGAAAAAAAAAAAAAACCAATGTAGAAATTAACACCCATTTATCCTGCAATTGTGAGTCTTCGTATAAGCTTTGTCCATCTAGCTTCCAGCATACAAAGAAAAGCAGACCTGACAGGTTTGTTTCTCCTGTTCATGTGCAATGTATGGCCCATGCTGTGACTTAAACTAAATTGGGATGAAATTTGCCAAGTCTTTAACATAAAACAATGTGTTACACGAATGGTTAATACAAGTTATAGGAACTTTTCTGTATTTTACTCAAAAGTGCAAGTGACATTTCCTTTAAAAAAAATCAGGAATACAAATAAGGGGTCAACTGAACATCAGCTAACTTTGAATGATTTAAATATGTAAATATGGCCGTATATGCAAAATGTTTCAAAAACCTTTCCCTGACACCAAGACGCAAGAAATACATCACGTTTTGCCCAGATAGGTCAGTTTGACAGCACAAACCTAAAAGGAACATTCAGCGTTCTAAAGAACCGATTTCACTGGTTTAATACATTTTTGAATAATGAGCTTTCATGGCAGGGCCAACAAATTAGACTTTTGGCACTGTACCTGCTGCGACCCAAACGCCATGATTCTCAGCAAACATCTAAAGAACGTAGGTGTTTAGTATGTAAACAGTGTAAACTACAATGAACAAAATTACAAATTTAAGCAGATTCAGATAGTTACACAAAACAGATGAGGTGTGGAGGTTCTCATTCTGTTTTGGCCTTAATTTGGCAGTTGGTTTCTAGTTCACTACCGATCATTGTTCATGGGAAAAAAACTTGAACACCAGGGGTAGGTGGAGTTTACAAACTTTAAACCCTAGTCATAGCATGTCACAAAAATAAAAATCTGTAACATTCTGAAAAAAAGTGTTGCAATATTGGATTCATAAAGGAAAAAAAATCTTACCCAACAGCAACAGTAACAGGAGGAGCAAAGGTAACAATTTCTTGATTTTCGGAAGGCATCTAGGTTTAAAACAAACAATTTTACAATGAAATATTCACAACACCATTCCATATCCCTGTCGTGCACATGGGCTATCACAGCATCACATCTAACTGGACAGTGCTTCCCTTATGATAAAACGTCAAGATATTCACCCAGCAGAAAGTATTGTTAAATGTATCATGTAGTTAAAAATAAAACAATGTTTGCAGATCTAACCACACTACAAATCAAAAACTGCTTTAAGAACACAATTGTTGTACGAGTCTCCTTAAAACTGCTTAAGTTCTATTGTGTGTTTTAAGTAGATTATTTTCAACAAATGCTTAAGTTAAAAACATCAATATTTTTGGGATGTTTAACCCCTTAAGACCGGAGGGCGTACAATTACGCCCTATTTTAGACGGCTCTAAACGCCGCCGGGCGTAATTGTACGCCCTCCGGTCTTTCATTACTTATATATAATATAAAAAAATTAAATATGTAAATACGTAAAAAAATTTAATTTAAAAAATTTAAAAAAAATTTATTTAAAAATATATAGATGTGTGTTATTTCGTTCTAACTGTATTGTGATAATATATATTTATATCAAAATACACGTAGAAAGAAATATATATCTACATACATAAATATATGTATATATCACTATATATACCTATATATAAATAAAAATATTTAAAAAATTATATATATCTATTAATTCTACATATATATTTATGTAATATTTTTACATAATTAGGTATCTTAATTACAATTAGCAGGTCCTGCCTGACAACCCATGCCGAAAGTGAAAGGAATTTAATTTGCTAGCACTATATTTAACCCTATAACTTTCCAAGACACCATAAAACCTGTACATGGGGGGTACTGTTCTACTCTGGAGACTTCGCTGAACACAAATATTAGTGTTTCAAAACAGTGAAGTGTATTACAACGATGATATCGCCAGTAAAAGTGAAGTTTTTTGCCTTTTTCATGCACAAACCGCACTTACACGGACAATATTATTCCTGCGATACTTTTTACTGTTTTGAAACACGAATATTTGTGTTCAGCGAAGTCTCCCGAGTACAACAGTACCCCTCATGTACAGGTTTTATGGTGTTTTCAAAAGTTACAGCGTCAAATATAAGGCTTGCGTTTCATTTTTTTCACATTAAAATTCGCCCGATTGGTTACGGTGCCTTTGAGACCCTATGGTAGCCCAAGAATAAAAATTAACCCTATGATGGCATACCATTTGCAATAGTAGACAACCCAAGGTATTGCAAACGGGGTATGTCCAGTCTTTTTTAGTAGCCACTTCGTCACAAACACTGGCCAAAATTGGCGTTTTTTGCATTTTTCACACAAATAAATACTAACGCTTACTTTGGCCAGTGTTTGTGACCAAATGGCTACTAAAAAAAGACTGAACATACCCCATTTGCAATACCTTGGGTTGTCTACTATTGCAAATGGAATGCCATAATGGGTGTAAATTTCATTCCTGGGTTACTATAAAGTCCCAAAGGCAACGTAACCAATCTGGCGAATTTCAATTTCAAATGTAACGTGCTATATTTGACCCTGTAACTTCCCAAACCGCCATAAAACCTGTACATAGGGGGTACTGTTTTGCACGTGAGACTTTGCTGAATACAAATGAGTATTTTATTGCAGTAAAAGTAAACAGTATTATGACATTGACAGTTAAAATGTCAAGTAGAAGTAAAAAAAAAAAATCAAAAAAAAAAATCAAAGAAATCTTATTTTCTCCCATTTTTTTCATATTAAATTATGTTTCATAGCTAAATATTTGATATTAAATGAAAGCCCTGTTTCCCCTGAATAAAATGATATAATAAGGGTGGGTGCATTTAATATGAAAGAGGAATTACGGTTGGACAGACATGTAGCGCAAATGCCAGGTTTTGTTTACATTTTGTTTTGTTCACAACGTGTACATTTGGCATCGTCCTTCAGGGGTTAAGCGACTGGTCAAAAACACAAATATGCCTGTGCTACATATATATACACACACACACACACATAATATAATATATATATATATACATATATATATATACACATATATATACACACACACACACACACACACAGACTGAGTGTGTGGTGTTTTGTAACATTTGGTCCTAGCAAAACTTATGATATATATGATCAGGCTAGTGCCGCTGTTCTAAGCAGTCTATAAGGCAGTCTTAAAAACATAGCACACAGACAAACTACAGATTCATATTAAATTGTAGACTCTGCTACTGACCTGGTTAAAACGAACACGTTTAATAAAGATATCAGAGTGGCAAGTTGGTACCATCCTGTGCCTAACCACCAAAACATTCCAGAAGCTGCTCTTCCTGCAAGACAGAGGGGGAAAGACTAGGTCGATATTCAGTGTAAATGCAATGTAAAGCCAAGAGCGCATGCAAATGACACTAAAGTTTGACTGACAGAAACTTTAACATGAGAAGATATGTAACAAAGCATGCAACTGAATATCAATAGTGCCAAAAGAGATGCGGTTACGATACACAGTGTTACCGAATGGCGAGATAAGGTTTCAAAATCTGCTGGATTGTCAGTGAGGCTACTGCTTAACCTTTAAATGCTAAAACAAGGTTTACCAATTATGGTTCAAGAAATGTAAACCAAAAAAATAAAAATCACAAACAGAAGGTATGTGCCCCACATGAAATATATAAACAAAAGTGCCCCCCAAAAAAGGACTAATGCAACATTACCAGTTTGAGCACCTGAGGGGAGGGGGAATTTGTTACACAGACCACCAAAGCGGGCTCAAAAAGGCAAAGTATTCATGCCAATGTGCAAAATTAAAATAATAACCTGGTGATACAATGGCCAACCAAAGAAACGACAACGCCTTCCTGGATACAAACCATCCTGAAGCTGCCACGCTTCGCACAGCTTGCTGCAAAAAGTACCCTAAAATATAGATGAGAGGGGAAGTCACAGATCAGTGCAAGTAGCCCAGGGGAATGTATATTGCAATATTATAAATCCATAGCTGAGAGAACCTGTGTGCCAAAGATGGCCTTTCAGAAGCAAATGAAAAAAGAGAAAAGAAAATGGTATGGAGGGGAGCTAAACAATCTAGCAATGTTTATGCAATAAATATCTGGGCATATTGCCTTCTGAAGTTTATTATCCTCATGTGAATAAGAGGCAGACAATAGTGCTGGCAAAATTCCACAAGCCTGGGGGAAAAAAGCTTGCAATACATAAAAAGAGGCCAATTTTAGTTGCAGGTGAATGCTTTTGTACAGATTTCAGGATTAAAAAATTTATTTGAGTTCAAATGTTTGCATTTTAATAATGTGAAACGTGATTAAACTAGTGTACAAACAGGATCCTGTGGTAAAAAAACAAAAAACAATGATCAATATTAAAAGACCACATTATTTAGGCACGGTGCAGATTAAGTGCTGGAGGGGGAAGGGTGAATAAACTATACAACTTGTAAAAAGGATTTTGTCTAAAAAGTCAGTGCATATATAAAAATAAATTTAAAAAAGGAAAAGAAAAAAATGCATTTAAACCTGCATAAGAAAAGATGTGCAATATGGATGCCGTCACCCTTCTAGCCCGTGAAGACTGCCTGTGAACAGTTTGGACAGTTGTATGTGTTTCGTGATGTTTCGTCCCCTTACAGTCATCACCTGTTAATCATGGTAACAAAGGATTAATATGCGACTTCCACACCACAGTGCAGGGGGAAAAAGTTTGCTCAAAAAAAACAATTTTTTTTACACTACTGTTGCACTGTGAAGTGTTAATTCATGCTTTCTGCGCGATTACAAAGTGCAGAAATGTTAATGCCAAATTTGAGAGCCAAAATAGTGTGACATTTTTCCTTTTGCCTTCCTTTGATGTAAAGGTGGCAAATAAATAAAACACACACAAAGGAGTTTAATTCACTTTAAATTAGTTGTACTGAAAGCTGAATTTCAAAATTTACACATAGAAGTTATGCAAAAAGTGGGGATTCTGAAAAAATATCCAATTCTGTTGGACAATAGGCTGTTATTTTAGCCATTTTAATTATATACATTTTAACATTAACTACAATCCAGTATTTAGCAAATTGACTCCAAAGGGGAGTACACATTTTAACATTCACTACAATCCAGTGTTAAGCAAATAAACTCCAAGGTGGGGAGAGGGGTGAGGTTTAGGATTCTAGGGCTTAAAATTAAAGTCAAGCGCATGCATGAGCACCATACTTACACAAAGATTCCCCATTTATACGCAGGTGTCCATCCTCTTTTAGATAGTCTCTCACATTCATACTTCCACAGTAATTCGAATGAGCTGCAACACACACACACACACAGGGGAAAATAAAATAAAAAGTGTCTGGGTCTGGAATTTGCATGAAACCTGGGAAACAGGAACCCAGGCTATGAATTTGATTTGTATATTTTGCGTGCAGAGATAGATAAACCGTTTAACATGTTTACAGACACTGTCCTATGCACAGAAGTTTATATAATAAATTATGTGACTGCTACAAACTGTTAGACCAGGGATAGGCAACCTTCAGCACTCCAGATGATGTGGACTACAATTCCCTGGATGCTTTGCCAGCATTATGGCAGATTTAGTCCAAAACATCTGGAGTGCAAAATGTTGCCTATCCCTGGGTAAGACCAAAGAAGTGCAGATCTAGCATTCATTACCTAAAAGCACAGGTGTGATCGTTAAACTATACATTTGCATGTGCACAGTGAAGACCCAGTGCAAGAGCTTTATTTAAACAGCTGTGCAAAATAAGCAGTTTATTCACTAAACTGAGAATCCTGTTGAACTGGTAACTCAAATAGCCATTTACCTTTCTGACAAAACAAGTTATTTTTCTAAAATATTTCCTTCAGTCTTGTAACCAGATTTTAATCTCACCACAATTATCTTGTACCCCCGGTTCAGTGAATAAAATACTACGATCTCGCTTTAATATTTTTTGGATATGTTTTTCAGATTATTTAACTTATTACATTTTTGGATAGACTTAAAGTTATTTATTTAAAGATTTTGTTTAGCATTTTGATATTGAATTTTTTTTTTTTTTTACTTAGATCATCTTTTTGATATTTTAAAAAAGGAAAAAAAAACATTTGAAAAGGTAAACCGAAAAGCTTATCCAAAATATAAAATTAAGGCCTAAGTGGAGACAAAAATGTGATTTCATCCAGGTCAAAAGGAAGCACACAATATCACCCATCACCAACAATGTTTTTTGGTCTGATAGATAAACAGCTGGTCATCACTCCTTTTATGCAAAAGGGGTTCTTCAAGACCGAATATTTGGTTCCAGATAGCCTTAACTTCCTGCTCAGCTGGCAAAAGCACATGGCAACACAAAAAAAAACAAAAAAACATTCTGATGCAGAGAAAATTAAACCTACCCCAAGCCATAGGTAAAATGCACGAATGTAACGCACACATTTGATTTAGCAATCATTACAGAAAACCCACAAACCAACAGCATGCGTCACCTGTGATTGTGATAGGGTTTGGTGAATTTAATTTAGTGCAGGCGGGAGAACAGGAGAAGAATATACCTTTGAGTTCATAACCAAGCTTCAGTAGGACCATATGAAAAAGTTCAATAATCAGAGCTGCTAAGGTACATGCAGAAGATCTGACCAGCAGCATTGTTTTATGTAAAAAATAGAGCATTTCTCCTATTAAGTAAGAACAAACAAGTACTCAGATTACTAACAAAAAAGGAAAAGGGGAAAAAAATATTCAGGAAACAAGGCTAAGATGTCCCATTTATGACCTAACAGCTAATGTTTGTGAATGGGACTAATCATCTTTCAAGGTTGGTCACCATGGGGTTAAAACAACCACAAACTTTTCATTAAGCAATTGTACTTCAATAAAGTAATACAAATTCTTAAACGCAAATGCTGCTTCATGTGTATTTGATCAGTGTTTCCAAGTCAGTGTAAAGGGGAACTTAATGCAACCTTAACTTGATATGCTGTAACATGTTTATATTCAAGTAAATGTTTTAATTGCCAAGACAATCTGTATAAACAGTTAAGAGTGATTCTCTTCTGCCTCTCCATGAGACCATGTCAGACACAGATAAGAGGTAGAGAGCATCCCATGTAGCCCACTGCCACCGTTCACTTCTCTATTTGCACTCTACTGGCAAAGTGGCAAGTGTTTTAGTTCTATCAGGGGAACCTCTTCAAGGCTTTAGAGAGATCTTCCACTGATATTCAAACAGAAAATGAGAAATATATGGATTTAATCCAAGTCTACCAAGCTGACATTTTCCAGATCTAGTTTAGAAGACAATATACCACTTAATTGTATTTGGCTTTATTTATGCTGTGGTTTTCGCTGTATCATAACCATGCCCCGTTGCCAAGCCTCCTCTGTATGTACTCTGTTCAGCCAAGTGGAAAGCAGTGTGATACAATTTTTCCCTGTATCATATATTCCCCCTTTGCCTGTAGCATGGCTGAGATACTACACAGATAAAAGGTCAGTGATTTGATGTGAGGCATAGATATCAGCAGATCAGCTCCCACTGATCTCATTGGCTAAGCTGTATATGTACACAATTAGCAAACATTTTGTGGAAAGGGGAGGCATGGCTAAGGGGGAGTTTGAAAAATGAAAGAAAATACAGGATGAGCACAATAAAAATACAATCACACGTGCTTAAAGAAACACTAATACTAAAAATAAGCATATATATTTAATGTTAGAAGCTACCGTTTTTATGTTACATTCAGGGCTCCCCATAACTAACTTACTGGCAATCCAGTGCTAGGACACTCTCTTGTCAGTAGCCACTCCTCCCTCATGACTGATTAAATCAAATGCTTCTCGTAGACAACTACATCACACCCTTGGCAATCACCACACTCTGCCCATCTGATACTTTTAAAGAAGCAATGAATATATTGGACATGAAGACCTTTCAAGAGGAAGAGACTAATGGCGGTCTAGGTGTCATTAAAGGCCCTGTTTCAGGCCGATTTAAACATTGCTGTTTATCAGAAACCACAATATTTTACAAAGCCAATGAAAGAAAATATATGCATCAGAACCACTACATGAATATGAAGTGTTTTGGTGCTTAAAGGGACACTATAGGAACCCAGACCATATTTCATTGAAGTGGTCTGTTTGCAGTGTCCCTATCCCCTTAACCCTGTTTTAGAGAAGCTGCAATGTTTTCATTGCAGGGTTACTTCCTTTAATCGGCTTCAACTACGTGAAAACGCTGGAAGTCCTCATGTTTGCCGGTTCTTCCTCACGAGTTCTGAGCAGACAGAGAAAGCGCTGAAGGACATCGGCATTGGAATAAGGCAAGTGAAAAAAAGTTTTATCCATTTCATAGCCAAGCCACGATGGCGCAAAGGGACACTATAGTGTTAGGAACACAGCTTTGTATTCTTAACACTAGTTTTCCTTAAGATGTCTGTTTAAGTTGTGTTGTATTTGGCTAACTTGACACTACCCTCTGAAAGTCTCAGATAATATCAGAGTACTTGCATAGAAAGCATACAAAAAAAATGAGCCTTAACTTGTAGACTACTGTGACATATCCATGTCAGTAAGTAAAATGCATTGACAATTGTCTCTGTACTTTCTTTAATGTAGCACCATATGACCCTTACATTCATAATATATATTTTATTTTTTATAGGCAGGAAAATGCAATGTGAATTCTGTGTGTGCACTTACTGCTTTTAAGAGGTCTTTATAGATTTTCAAAGTTTTGTTGTATTCACATTACATTACTACAACACATCACAAAGTTACAATTTTATTTTTCACAAACATATTTGTAAACTATAGAGGACAAACCTTAAACATTCTAGGATGTGCTGTTTCCTTTTAAAAATAATTTCACTGAAAGCACTGTAATGTGACATTGGAATCACGCAGAATTAAAATCTTACTTGACTTCTGTTTTTGGCTCCTGTCTCTGGAGTACACTGTTGAGGCTGTGTGCTTGTTTGCAGACTTTGCATGAGATGTAGGATATGCTGTGAGGACATCATTCCTATCAGACAGTATGCTACAGTCATTGCAAGTGTAATTAATCATAGTGGTTTGTGTCTGTGCAGAGTTTAAATCTCCATTGGCTTGAATCACTGTAGTTTCACCAGCTAAACAAGAAATGAGGGTGAGATTAAAAAAAAAATCACCATGAAATCATTCATAGCTATGGCGACTTGTTTAAAATAAAATTCAATTTACCTTTTGGATCATCATCATCAAGACCTTAAGGAAGAAAAAGATGAAAAAAAACACATTATTTTTTAAACTACCAATTTGTCCTGTAGTTTCAGTTTAATCTGGTTGCAAACAAGTATGTAAACATAAATGAAGGCTAATATGTTCATAGTATAGACCATGGGTAGGCAATCTTTTAGCAGCACTGTGCCGATGTAGGATTGTGATGTCCCGTAGCGTGCTGGTCCTATTTTTTTTAAATTTAGGTGTGTATACTGCCGTATTCTGCTTGTGTTATTTTTACTGCAGTTGCTTTGTATTGTTTTATTTGTGCGTATATGAGCTATTATATTGTATATGTTCAGGAGTAGTTTGTGGTATCATGTATGATACATATGAATGTGGGCTGTGTATGAGGGCTGCTTGTGGAATTGTGTGTGGATGGATATGTCACATTGTGTGTTTGGTAGTGTGTGGGCTGTTTGGGGTATTCCATGTGAGAGGCTGCATGTGGGGTTGTGTGCATGTATGTGGATTGTTAGCGTGTTACGTTTGTGCAGATTGTAAGTTTGTTTGTGTGTGGGCTGTTGGTATTATTTGTATAAGGGGAGGGTTATTTTTCATTTCTTTGTTATGACTGTAAATTAGTGATAGTAAAATGTCTATTTACTTTGTATACCTGTATTCAATATCTACTCAAAATGGCTGCTAGAGCACCCCCTCCCACCGACTACCTTGTGTAACAAGATGGCGCCTATATCCGGAGTAAAATTCTGGGATGATGGTGACATCACACCTCGTAGGATGTGCATTAGATAAGACACTTTACACCTAACCAATTAAAGATGTATTCTCTGTTATCTACATTTTTGCATATGATGTATTTTTGCCTTTATAAGGGGCTTGCCGCCCCCTGAGTAAAGATTCCAAAGTTTTTCATTAACCTGATACTTGTGTCTCAGTGTAATTTACTTCAGAGCATGCACAGATTTATTTTAACAATTTGGAAAGGAGCAGATAATCAGATAAACACTTGGTTTGATCCACAATATCTGTGTATATCTAGCAGTATGGTTGGCTTCCCTGGGTTCCAGTGGGGACCAGGCTGGCCCGGTACAAGTCAAAGACAGGAGCTGCAACAGTAGCTGCAGGCTGCTCTACTACATTGTGGATTCCCATTCACAAGTGCTTGGAGGAAGTGATCTGAGCTGTGCTGCATTGCTTAAATTGAGGATTGTCTTTTCATATTAGCAGATATCTGAAGTTTTTACTGGGACTCCTGATAGGCCAGAGCCTGTTTGGCTCTAGTAGCCTTGAGTGCCGTGCAAAGACACCTCGAGTGCCGTGCATGGCACTAGTGCCGTAGGTTGCCTACCCCTGGTATAGACAGTTCTAGAAAAGAAAGTCAGAAAATGTTGCTAAGTAACCTGGAATTAGTAGAATGGGAATTAAAATAAATAAATAAATCACTCCAGGACCAAAGGTAGTATATTATAGACATGTGCCACAATTACATTTACGGCAGAATGACTTCTCAGTGAAAAATAGTTACTGTCATCAAAATCTCATGGATGATGCTTCCAAAATGTGTGTGTAGTTGCAGCAAATTTACATATTTCTTCAGTCAAAAATACATATAATCCAGGTTTAGTTTGGCACTATACTGTACAGCATTTAAAAACTATACATGTTACAAGTATCTAACATGCAAAAAAGAAAAAACTAAATGTATCATTTTGTAAACAAATTTTTTTTTTTAAATATATATATTTTTTAAAGGAAATCTTTTCCAAGAAGCCCTATCTGAATTGTATACATTTAGCCATTAGTTTAATTCCCAAGTCTGAAAAATCCTGAAATGTTTCATATGTTGCTTTTATATTTTCGAATGAGATAAAGATCTATGGAGAATCCAATGTTCTTTCACTATCTTCTATAAGTCCCTATTTTGTACATCGAACTTACAAAAGTCTTATAGTGAAAAGGAGCAGGTCCTGTGTTTTACCTCTCAGGAGCTCAGGAACACTCCCTTCTCTCAACTAAATCTTTTCCAATGCACTCTCAGGTTGCCAAAATGTCAAATTGTCCAATGGGATTTTTGTAAAAAAAAAAAAACACAGATGCCAGTAGAGATAGGTTCAGGTCATTAATTGAGAGTAAATGAGTTTCATCCTTCTATTACCCCTGTAAAGATTGATATGAATCTTTCAATATGCAGACAAGCCTGCCTGGAATTTTTGCCACTCTTCCTTTTATGTATATATATGGTTAACACAAACATCGCACGTCTATCCTCAATGGAAATTTGGAATAGGATACAAGATGGAGCAATTAACTAATATATGTGAGAATCTTCTTAGCATTCATTTAATTCTGGTTTATTGTGTTCAGGCTGCTTAAAGGACCACTATAGGCACCCAGACCACTTCAGCTTAATGAAGTGGTCTGGGTGCCAGGTCTAGCTAGGTTTAATCCTTTTTGCTGTAAACATAGCAGTTTCAGAGAAACTGTTATGTTTACCTATGGGTTAAACCAGCCTCTAGTGGCTCATTGACAGCCGCTAGAGGCGCTTCTCACTGATTTTCACAGTGAGAAGACGCCAGCGTCCATAGGAAAGCATTGAGAATGCTTTCCTATGGACTGGCTGAATGCGTGCGCGGCTCAGGGACATCAGAAGAGGGAGGAGAGTCCCAGCACTGGAAAAAAGGTAAGGGATTAACCCTTCCTCCCCCTTCAGCGCCACGGGGGTGGGGGCACCCGCAGGGCACTATAGTGCCAGGAAAAAGAGTTTGTTTTCCTGGCACTATAGTGGTCCTTTAATTTGGAGCAGAGACAAGATGCTCACGAGTCTAAGCTTATCCAGATCATGCGCCACACAAAAGACAGACAACCAAGGCAATGAAGTGTCAAACTCCACTAGGGAATTTAAGACGTCACGTGTACACATAAAGCTAGTAGATCGGGATCAGGATTTCATTGTCCTTCTATAATTATAATTGCTCATAAAAAATAAAAATAAAAGAAGAAGAAGAATTGAAGGAAACGGAGGATAGATTTAGTGGGTCCAATATGTGGAGGTACAAAGTTGACGTATACCTCCGCGCACTATTTTGGGAAATGAATATGTTTCTGCGTTATATGTATTGTTCATTTATTTTTTAGGAGGTACTACATGGGGCAGCCCTATCCCCAAACCGAATCACTAGTCAAGATAACAGACCCAAATATATTCCAAACAGCGCTTGGCGGCGCTTAGATATGAGTGTAATTGAAAACTGTTGCAGGGAACCGCAACACGAAATACACCAGTAGACAATCACAGTTGTTAGCCACAACTCATTCCTATTTTCATGAAACAAGAATATTCATCCCCCTAAGTAACCGGATAAGGTTACGAGAGGTGCAATAACAATTTCTATACTACAGAGCAAGTATTCCCGACTTAGCTACTAAAGCTGACGGTGAAAGATCGAGCACAGACTCCTATCTAGTTAGTGGAAACACTAATTTAAGTGATTTCAAGGACTAGAAATCACTTTTACAAGTTCATTGTTTAGACAGTTTCATTATATTTTAGTTTAGTTATTTTGTTGCATTTTTTACTTTACATTGCACGCACAAAATTCATACATTGCTGTAACTTCGCATTAACCAAAAACACATGGGGGAGCTACCATGGCACCACCCAGGGATCGTATGACTGCCATAGACATTAAATATACTCTTACAATGTTCGGGGGCTTAAAGGACCACTATAGGCACCCAGACCACTTCAGCTTAAAGAAGTGGTCTGGGTGCCAGATCCAGCTAGGATTAACCCTTTTTTCTATAAACATAGCAGTTTCAGAGCCCGACGGGGGGGGGGGACCCTGAGGGTGGGGGCACCCTCAGGGCACTATAGTGCCAGAATAAAGTATGTTTTCCTGGCACTATAGTGGTCCTTTAACTCACCATAAAAAAGGCACATGGCACTTTGGGATTTCCACTGGCTACAAGGAGATATGGTATTCGTGCAAGAAACGCACTTCAAAGGACCCGCAGCCCCAAGACTGACCAATAAGCAGTACCCTCATGCTACAATAACTTTACACATAGTAAATCACAGGGGGTGGCAATTTTAATAGATGCTCAGTTTCCATTTGTCTATCAACACCATGCAGATGATTTAGGAAGGTATGTCATCCTTCAAGACTCGATTAGCATCTTCCTTATAACTCTGGTCAACATTTACTTGCCAAACACGCGACAATGTCACACTCTTCGTAGAATACTAACTAAAGTCCAACAATGCGCTAAGGGGGCTTTAACTGTGGGGGGCGACTAACATATCTATAGATGCCCAAAAAGATAGCACTGCACAACATTCCAGCCACCTACACCCCCCGTCCGAACACAAATAAAACTACTACAACATAGAAATCAACTAGTAGACTGTTTGAGAGCTCTTCCCCACTACGAAGGACTATACATTTTACTCCAAACCAGCCTCCACTTACACGAGAATAGACCTCTTCCTCACCACATAGGTATCTCACACTGGTGACTTCGGCGTAAATCAGCAGCATTACCTGGTCGGATCACTCCCCAGTCCATCTACAAATACGGATTCCATCTTTAGCCCAAGGCACAGGCAAGTGGAAACTAAATACCACCATACAACACAATACTAAGGCGAAACAAGCGATTGCCAAGACCATATCCCACTACTTACAAGATAATGCCACACAAGATACTATCCCTTTCCTTCAGTGGGAAGCACATACATGTGTGATAAGGGGGGAAATAAAATGGGGCTCCTTTCTTAAAAAAAGAAAGCATTAAGAGACAAGCGGAATTACTGCATAACAAAAGATATGAAAGAGACACACAAGATCACTGTCTGAAGCCGATCACCGTAAACTCATATCCTTTAGGTCTGAACTGACATTATTACAATCGAAAGCTAAAAAATCCCTAGTGTGGAATAAGCAAATATTTTATGCCCAAGGGAATGGATGTGGAAAACTCCTAGCTAATGCACTCAAAGAGAACATATATCCCTCAAATTAAAACAGCTAACGATAAAATAGTGCAAACAAATGTAGAGATAGCAGGGACATTTAAAGAGTTCTACCACTCATTGTACAACATTACAAAAACCACACAGGATAGGGAGGCAATCAAGACGTACCTAGCGGATACATTTGACAGAGCACTACCCCAAGCAGTGATTAGGTCCTTAGATGAGCCATTCACCCTAACTGAGCTCACACAGGCGGTTAAATCCACCCCCTCGGGCAAAAGCCCGGGCCGGTTGGCTATTCAGCCTCATACTATAAAACATACTTGAAGGAACTAGGCCAACATCTGCTAGAAGCCATTAACTCAATAGGCCCAGACAACCCCATTCTTAAGCCAAGTTTGGAAGCCAATATCACTCTCCTCCATAAAGCTGGGAAGAACCCAGACGCTTATGGAAGCTATAGACCAATCTCGTTGATTAATGTCGACATGAAAATATTCACAAAAATGCTAGCATTCAGATTGAAACCTCTGCTTTCAACCCTGATCCACCCGGACCATGCAGGTTTTATCCCTTCTAGAGAGGCAAAGGTCATACACCTCATCCATGGAGCACATGGGAACAAGACCCCCTCCATCATCTTCGCTATCGATGCAGAGAAGGCGTTCGACAGGGTGGACTGGAACTTCCTTTTGTCGACGCTGGGCTTTGGTAGGAGGTGGATGCAGTGGATTCAGACGATCTACTCCTTCCCATCAGCGAGACTCAAAATTAACGGAATATTATCCGAACCCTTCCAAAAAACAAATGGCACAAGACTGTCCCCTGTCCCCATTACTATTCATCTTGGGACTAGAACCCCTGCTGAATGCTGTGAGGGATCAGTCGAGGGTGGAGGGGATGAGGGTGGGCAAAAACAAATATAAGGTGTGGCGAAACCAACCTCGCCACTATGCACTGGAGAAGCCTGGTTGCCAGCCTCCTGCCATCTGACTATGGCCCCCTTTTAATAGACTTTATTTTGCCTGCAGAAAAGCTGTATTCGTGCTTTTCTGCCGGTTGTTCGGTAGTTTCAATCTACCGAACAACCGCACGAATGAATAGACCACCTGGGAGCTGGAGTGTGCCGGCAATTAACCTCCCTGAAGCTGCGGTTAACAGCAGCTTAATTGATGAATGCTGGGTGGCCGCCATTCGTATCCCGAACACGAGGTCGCGGCCATTTTAAACATACGAATGCACAGCGGTGTTCGCCTCTATTTTCATGGAACTAAAATCGGACACAGTTTTGTGCGAACACCGCTGAAGCCGGACCTCCCTTCTTGTTCGGTGGAAGTGTACGAACGGCCCGGTGTTCGGTAGTTTTGTTCGAAGATGTTATACCCCTGATAGGAATCCCATGGAGCCCATTCGTATGAAACTGACTGTGTAAAGACTTTAGCTCCATGGCGATTAAACTGTATTCGTGTGGTCTGAGTGCCATTCACCTAATAATGTGCATTCAGACCTGAGCTATCTGGGGATATGTTACATGTCTGTGTTTTGTGGAATAAATGTTACTTTATGTATTTTAAAGTATAATACTGGTTTTGTGTCCCCACATGTGTAATGGAGTTTTGCCTTTGTCCTGGGAGATAATTGAGTTACTTCCCAATTATCTCCCAAGGCAGAGGGGAGGAAGCCAGGATGCATTGTGTGTCCTATTTGTCTGCTTGTCTGTCCCTTGTCACAGTCTCCCATTTGGTCCCCTAGGGGAGTGTCCACCAGGTGGGAGACCTGCATAAATACTGGGCAGGTAGCCCTCATTAAACAGATTCTGCTTAACCCTCAAAACGAAGTGTCGTCTTGTTATTGGGGGAATTGGATTGTATGCTGACTGCCAGGAGTGTAAGCTGTTCTTATCGCTTTTCCTGTTCGGCTGCTTCCAGAGTTCGTGTATTTCTTGTTCGTGAGTTGGGCATTCGTACAGTTTGGAGTTCGGGAGGTTGGTGATTACAGTAGCTGCTGGTCTATGTGAAAGGGGATTATCGCCTAAACGGATTTTATCCCCGTTTGAGAGAAACGGTCCGTTACATAAGGTATCCACGTTTGCGGACAATTACACTTACTAACCCAGCTTTGTCCCTCCCAGCATTGGAGATTCTGTCCGAATATAGTACCCTCTCCAACTTTAAAATAAACACCGACAAATGTGAGATATTGAACCTTACCCTATCAGAAAAGGACAAAACTACAAACACGCTATGCCTTCCAATGGGCCACGAAGTCCATCAAGTACCTGGGAGTTAACATAACCCCCCCATAACAAGTTGCTATATGGAGCTAACTTTCCACAACTCTTGGGAGCTATTAGTGTGGATCCGGAAACGTGGAACAAACCGCTTTTTCGATGGTTTGGTAGGGTAAATATTCTAAAAATGAATACACTCCCAAGACTACTATATCTATTAAACACTCTACCAATCACTATACCACGAACCTTCAAGAAGATTCAGTAGCTATTCACTCAAATCATTTGAGCCAAAAGACGCCCAAGAATACGATACCACATCCTCACTAGGCCTAAGGAGAGGGGGGGCTTAGTCGAGGTAGTGGGAGGAGGGGGTTTGACACCAGTTACACAACTGACAGAGGGAAAGGTCCAGACACTCATGCAGAGATTTCAATATGAACAAATGCGACATTTCCTGAACGCACAGGGCCTATCAAATTGGACTTCAAGAGATCCGACCAAATTTGTACTACTATGCTCAGGAGATAAACTGCCACCTAAACCGACCTTTTGTTACAAACTCCTACAGACCCAGACATATACACAGCTACCATACTCCACTAGAACATAGAAGGGACACTTGGGACATGAGTTTGTAACAAAAGGTCGGTTTAGGTGGCAGTTTATCTCCTGAGCATAGTAGTTCAAATTTGGTCGGATCTCTTGAAGTCCAATTTAATAGGCCCTGTGCGTTCAGGAAATGTCGCATTTGTTCATATTGAAATCTCTGCATGAGTGTCTGGACCTTTCCCTCTGTCAGTTGTGTAACTGGTGTCAAACCCCCTCCTCCCACTACCTCGACTAAGCCCCCCCCCCTCTCCTGAGGCCTAGTGAGGATGTGGTATCGTATTCTTGGACTTGGAGGAAGGGGACTGGCAGACTATTTTCAAAACAATATTTCATGCACACTCTAGTGTCCCACTACATGAGATTAATTATAAATTCGTTTCCAAGTGGTACATCACCCCAGTGGATGTCAATAGATTTGACTCAAACACGTCTCCCAACTGCTGGAGGTGCGACTCCGACACAGGCACCTTTCATCATAAATGGTGAAACTGCGCTGCAATATCTGGCTTCTAGAAAGACGTTTGGAATACGGTCAACTTAGTGACTGGCATGAACATACCCTATAACCCAGAGGCACTACTCCTATACCACTTCGAAATCCCACACCGACAATTCAGAAACGCTCAGATTTCATGTTGACAGCAGCTAAAGGCATTATAGTGAACAATTGGAAATCAAAGACTTTACCCTCTAAGAAAGAATGGTATTTGAAAAGCGAACATTTTCATGGGATGGGGGAGTTAAGATGGGGGTCCCTAGATAAATACCATAGATACATGGCAACCATGGAAACACTTCTTGAAGTGAACACTTCCAGTTCTCCAACACAGACATGCAGGTTCTATAGGCGAGACATGGGAGAAAGGAGGGGCAGGAAGAGGTGATAGGATGTAACAGCAAGGACAGAACTACGGCCATTTTTTTCAGCCCCAATAGTTAAGTTACATACGCATAACAGGCTAGAGAGAATACTACTCGAAACACACATCTCTGTGCCCAACTAACTGTGGAAAATATCAAAGATATACACCAATGTTACTGATAATGCGTAAAATCTGTGAAAATGTGTGAAGTTGCGATGATTATATCTATACAATGTTGAATTACTATGTTTATATTTTTGTACTTTTAAAAGTGACAATGTGTACAAAAAAAAAAAAAGGAAAAACCAAGATAAAATATATTAAAAAGGGGCAATAGAGGTTTTTTTTCTTCTATTCCCTCAAAATTTTCTCCTCACTCACCAGTTCCTTTAAAGCATTACACAACTCACCCCACAAATGATCCACTTCAGTCTGTTCTCTTATTAATGATTCGTCCAATATGGATGACATTGCAGTGGTATCACCACCACCACCACCAGTACTAAAGCTGCTCTGACTTAGGAAGGAGGAATTGGAGCCAGATTTCCTCTGTGCCGAATGATGAGAGCCGGATGAAGACTGCCTGCTGTGGATATGCTGTTGCTTGAGTGACCTTGACAAAGAAAAAGCACGACAGATAGTTCTCTTCCAAAAGGACACAATATTGAAACAAGTTGTCTATTAAAAATAACAACATGAATACCAGTAGTCATAGAGGCACAACTAAATGATACCGGATACCAACTAATGTGTGACTAGAACCTTGATCAAAGACACCTGTGAACCTTTACATATAGAATCAACCTGCTCACAAGATAAGGATTGAGACATTAAATGAACACTATAGGATCAGGAACACATACATGTATTCTTGACCCTATAGTGTTAAAACCACCATTCAGGTAGCTTGCCCCTCCTTAGCCCTCTTAGAAGGGATTAAAACTCACCTTATTTCCAGCGCCGCACATATCCTCCAGCACTGGCCCCCACCTCCGATCAGCCTCCATGGTGACATCAAAATGTAAGATGTTTAGTCAATCCAATGCTTTCCATAGGGATCTCAATTACTAAAACATAGGGATAGCATTGGATTGGCTGAAATCGGCAATGAGGGGTAATCAGGGTGGGGCCAAATGCTTTTTGGCCAATCAGCACCTCCTCAGAGATGCATTGAATCAATGTATCTACGGGGAAAATTCAGCGTCTCCATGCAAAGCACATCCCCAGGAAGCACCTCCAGTGGACATCTGAGGGTGGCCACATGAGTTATCCCTAGGGGGCAATGTAAATGCCTGAAATGAATGATTATACTCACCAGAACAAATACATTAAGCTGTAGTTCTGGTGAGTTTAGTGTCCCTTTAAGGATCAAACAAAACCAAAAGAGCAAATCACTACCAACCCCAGATGAAGTCGGACTAGATTTCATGAAGATTTGGTCCTATATGGAAATGTTAACATTGCAAAGGCATATACATACCAACTATTTTGCTTGCTATATGAAAACACTGAAAAAAGCAAAGAGCACAACAATGTATATGTAACTGATAACAATTGTTAAAGTGGGACTTCACTAAATACAGAGCTCTGTTCAATTATATTCCTCTGTCCACCTACACATGGTTTAAAAAGAATGTAATGTTTTGATCTAATGTAAGGTTCTTTTCATTCTGTTTGATATAGACCTTTCACATGTGTGTTGTGAGAACCAAATAAAAATAACACTATCACTACATATTGCACTTATTTTTTAAATCTATGCAGCAAGTAAGGCTTGATGCCAGGTAAACACAAATAGAAAATGAATGGCACTGTAAGTGTTAACCATTCAAGCAACAGAGCTTAATTGCTATGCATTAAGAACACTTCTGGCACTCAGAGTTAAATAAGAGGAATCAATTTTAAAATATCTTCAAAATATTGTTTAAGAAAACTTCTACAATGTGGCATCCTTACACTAAATATTAAAACTATGAGGCAAGGTGTGCCTATAGGTGTGCTCTTTTTCTAAATTTTAAACCAAAAACATTACATGAATGTAATGCAGTGAACAGAAATTAATAAAATCATCTTGGCAATCCCTACATACTACCTGTAGTCGAACCCATGACTTACCGTTTAAAAGTGCCCTCAGATGAGATACTTCCAGAGTAAGATGCATTGGAAGCGATGCTGTCATTGTGCAGATCACTGGCATGACCTGTGGTCAGCAAGCGCAGGCTTCGCCGTGACATCCTTGGAGAATCAAAAACTGGATCCAACTTATGGAAGGTCTCAAAGTCTAGGGCTGCTGACGAATAACTTGAGCTACAAACAATTAAAATCAGCTATTAAGTTATTTGTATGACATTATTTGAAGACAAGAAAAACGGCAGCATAGACAAAAGGTGCATCTGTACAGATCTCCGATCTATATGGTACAGGATTTCTTAAACCAGAACATTTTGTAAACATTCATCCATGCAACAGATGCAGGATATTTAAAAGGGACACTCAAGCATTAGAAATTTACATTTCTAAACTTGGAACATTCCTGTTTCATGTTAGATTCATGCACCAATCTCCAATAAGGATTTACTTACCTCTAATCCAGCTCTGCTCCAGGAGATCACCACTAGTGGGGATCTCACAGCCAATTCAATGTTACGCATAGACTAGCTTTGGGACAAAGGGAGTACAAGTGGCAGTGTGACCCACCAGCAATACTTCTCAGAGAAGCTTGGAAAACCGTGCATCGCTATGAGAAGCCCTCACTTCCACTGGGTGCTCAAAGCAAGTTAGGAAGGCAACCCTCTTGACACTTTACAGATATGAGATATTAGCAAGGAAAAATAAATCAGCATTTCAATAAAACAAGACAAAAGAGACATGCTCTTAACCTCTAAACACTTCAGGAAGATAAAGCGCTTTTGGAATTTGAAGTGTTTTTGTGTAATCAGTGATCATTTCTATCCTTACGTGTCTAATTATGTTGTGTTTCCCTATTGTACAGTAGCATTTTATTTTGCTCAATATAATTATTCATTAAATTAGCAGTTTTTAACAAATAAAGTTTAGTATTCTAGATTACAAAAAATTGCAATAACACAAGGTGCAAGTATCACCAAGTGGCTAGTCAATTATAATATTAGTAAATGTGTTACATTTTGTTATTTTGTAGTGAACAGTATATACACATATACTATGTCTGTGCACAGACCAAATAAAAAAAAAAAAACATTTCCTCTCTAAAACCAAAGGGCTAGCAGTTGTAGCTCTCATAGTGCCAGTTGAAACCCCCCATTATCTAATCAATGGCTCCAGTGTAGCAAGACACTTTATTTGTAACAAAACATCTGCTTCCTCGTGTCTAAATGTGCGACACGTGCACCAGCACACAAGTTGCCATTCAATCGCAAACAGCTGTAAGTGCTTAACAAAAAGCCCTTCTCAACAACATGTTCTGAGTCCAAAAGATCTCAATGGTACTGCGTGTAACTGATAACGGTTCTTGCAGACCAGCTTGTTTTCAATTAAAATGCACTACATTGACGCATCCTATCCCATTCATAAACTACCAGCCTATTCCAAAGGGCGCTAGAAGTAACTGTTAGGATACATTTACTTACAGGAACAAAGGCTGTAATGAAATATAACTACACAAAAACTACATTTGTGTCCTATATTGTTTTCTGGATGGTGAGCCCACAAGCCTGATGAGTTGCCTAATTGCCACTCTAAAACAGAGGAGAAATGTATATCCACGATGCAACACTTCAGAATGCTCCTTCCTCTGTAGTACCTTCAGTTTTATGTATAGCCAAGCAGATTAGGAGGAAAGCAGGAACTAGGTGAGCAGGATGTAAAACAAGTCAAGGCACCAGCAACCAATAAAAGGAGGTCTTACAGGTTTCTCACCAGCTGGAAGGAAATTTGTCTGGGAAGACAAATTCTTCAATTAACAGTGAGTTCACAATATCACATACCCAAACACAGTTAAAAATAAAAGTAATTATATATAAAGAATTGTATGTGCTTTTATTCAAACTTCAATACTGCCAAATTAAATGCATACCCTACAGCAGGGGTGCCCAAAAGGTAGATCCTCAGATGGTGTAAAACTACAACTCCGATGCTTTGCATTCCTTTCGAATGTTAGAATGACAAAGTATCATGGAAGCTGTAGTTTTAAAACCTCTGGAGATTTGCCTTTTGGCAAACCCTGCTCTACAGAGTCCTGAGAGGGACACTATAGTCACTTCATCTCATTAAAGTGGTCTGGGTGCACCATCCCTGTCACCTTAACCCTGCATTTGTAATTATCGCAGTGATTGAGAAACTGCAATAATTACCTTGCAGGGTTAACTCCACCTCTAGTGGCAATCTACAAGACAGCCCACTCAAGGTGCTTCCGGGTCCTTCGCTGACTTTTGGCCCGCTAAATGATGCTGATGTCCTCACGCTTTGCCTGAGGATATCCAGCGTAAGCTAAAACCCCAAAGGAAAGCATTGATTCAATGCTTTCCTATGGGGACATAATGCAACTGCAGCGTTCACCTCACATGCGCACTAGGTCCCCTCAAGTCAACTGAAGTCAGCGGAGGAGTAGCAGATGCTGAATCAGGTATGTTTTAAACCCTTTCTGAGCTGCGGTGGGGGCCGCGAGGGAGGGGGGCACAAGTTTGTATTATTAGCACTATAGTTTCTCTTTAAATAAATCCAGTTAAATGGATAAAACCTGGCACTACTTCCTTCAATAAATGTTCAGAAAGTTACAGAAGGGAAAGCATAGACCCTCTATCTCATGCGTTTCGTATGAGTATCTCAGAGGTCGCTGACAGATAATAACCAGGTTTTTAAAGGGACATTTCTGGCCCCATAATTATGGCAGATATTGAAAAATGCCTTTAATAAGAAAGGAACGTGACAGAAGATTGAAGAGAAGAGCAAAGGTGAAAACTAAAATTATTTAAAGTCACATTATAGGCACAGACCACTTCAGCTCATTAAAGTTGTCCGGGCACACTGTCCCGGTGCCATTAACCATGCAATTGCAATTATTTCAGTTATTGAGAATCTGCAATAATTACTAACCAGTGTTAACTCCACCTCTAGTGGCTGTCTGGGACTTCCAGGTCGTTAAGTGACTTTTGGCCTCCTAACGCTGAATGTCTTCCCGCTATGCAGGAGGTTATCCAGTGTAACCTAAAACTCCATAGGAAAGCATTACAACAATTCTTTCTTAGGGGCTGTCCTAATGCGCTCATGCACATTAGTTCCGAGGTCTGGAGGAGCCCAACCCAGCACCAAGAGACTTTAGCATTGGATTCAGGTAAGTGACAATATTGATCTGCACTGGGTGAAGGAAACTAGCCTATAACTTTCCTTTTAGCGAGAATATGCAAAATCAATTGAAAATTAAAACGCAAAACAATGTCAGTTTGACTTGTCAGAACGCTGAAAAAAAAAACAATGTTTGCATGATAAGTTTTTGTGGCTTTGTGCCAAAAATCTTTTTGAAAGAAGGCTAAACCTTTCTCATCTGATCTCTCAAGATCAGAAGACATTCTACTGCAGCCTCAGATTCGTAGAGTATATTCAAAATGACAATTTCACAAGGACTGGCTAGGTATAGCTAGAAGTTCTTCAAGCCCCTTTAAAGGACCACTATAGTGCCAGGAAAACATACTCCGTTTCCTGGCACTATAGTGCCCTGCGGGTGCCCCCACCCTCAGGGTCCCCCTCCCGCCGGGCTGGATGGAGAGGAAGGGGTTAAACTTACCTCTTTCTCCAGCGCCGGGCGGGGAGCTCTCCTCCTCCCGTCACCGGCTGAATGCGCATGTGCGGCATGAGCCGCGCATGCAGCCAGTCCATAGGAAAGCATTATCAAGTTCCTATGGACGCTGGCGTCTTCTCACAGGCGTTCCTATGGACGCTGGCGTCTTCTCGCTGGAGTCTTCTCACTGTGAAAATCACAGTGAGAAGCGCGGAAGCCCTCTAGCGGCTGTCAATGAGAGCCACTAAATGCTGGATTAACCCATATGTAAAAATAGCAGATTCTCTGAAACTGCTATGTTTACAGAAAAAAGGGTTAATCCTAGCTGGACCTGGCACCCAGGTCCTTTAAAGTTGCTGTGAGCATCTCTCATGGGCTAAGTACTTGACCAGCCAGTCTGGATGGAAGTCTTTAATGCCAAGAAGGTGCTATCATTCCTCCACAAATAAAATCACTCTTTGTTGTATTCCATAACATTTGCAATGCCTTCAAGAATTTTCTTTTATGGTTCTATTGATCGATATATATATATCGTGAATAAGACCCTTTGCTCTTTCTAGTCATTTGTGGATTACTGGATTTCCTGCAGCATACAAAAAGGAAATCAAGCAACTCATACTTCAAGCTTGCCACAGTAATTTCCACTGATATCAGATGAAAGCAAACGCCTGTTGTAAAGAACTTGTAAAGCAATTTCTTATATCAAAACACTTGATATTTAACTCCTCTCCCCCCCATTTGCTATCCATACTATGAATATATGCCATGTAAGAATAGAATTGTAAAAAAAGTTGTCATGAATACTTTAACCCCTTCCCGACCCAGGACGGTTCAGGACCGTCATCGGGATTTTCCCATTGCGGACCGATGACGGTCCTGAACCGTCCTAACGGTTTCCGTTACTTACCTGATCGCCGTCGTTCCCCCGGCGGCGATCAGCGTGGCTCCGGTTGTGGGGAGACTGCCTGCAGCCCAGACAGTCTCCCCACACTGAATTAGGACCCCTGTGGCCATGTGATCACTTAACACAGCGATCACATGGTCACAATAGGTGTCCTAGTGTCTGCCTGCAGGGGGACTGTCTGTGCTGACAGGCAGTCTCCCTGCTAGTGTAAAATCAGAAAAAAAATAAAGTTAGTGTTAATTAAAAAAATAATAATTATATATGTGTATATATGATATATAGACATATATTATATCTATATAATATATGTCTATATATCATATATAATGCCATACTAAGTGTATTTTTATATTAATATGTACTTATATTAATATAAAAATACACTTATAATTAAATTACACACGTATATATATAATATATATAATAACTATATATATTGTATATATATATTATTATAAAATATAAATAATAAGTAATTTAAATTAAATAAAAAATTTTTAAATAATAAAAAATTTTAAAAAAATTATATAGCTATATGAAATTTTATTCTAACTGTATTTTAAAATTAATATATATATATTTATATCAAAATACACTTAGAATGAATTTGTATATATATCTATGTATATAAAATAAATAAAAATACGAAATATACATATGTCCATATACAAAATTACATAAATAATTATATAAATATACACGTAGACTTCAAATATATAAATATGCATATATATTTAAATTCTACGTGCGTATTTATGTAATATTTTTACATAATTCAGTAATTTTATTGATTGCAATTTGAGGGACCTGCCTGCCAACCCAGGCCGAAATTCCAGAGAATTTAATTTGCTAGCACTGTATTTTACCCTGTAATGTTCTACGACACCCTAAAACCTGTACATGGGGGGTACTGTTTTACTCGGGAGACTTCGCTGAACACAAATATTAGTGATTCAAAACAGTAAAACATATCACAGCGATGATATTGTCAGTGAAAGTTACTTTTTTTGCATTTTTCACACACAAACAGCACTTTTACTGATGATATAATTGTTGTGATACGTTTTTTTTAAACACTAATATTTGTGTTCAATGTCTCCCGAGTAAAACAGTACCCCCCATGTACAGGTTTTATAGCATTTTTGAAAGTTACAAGGTCAAATATATGGGTCAAATATTTTTACATTGAAAATGGCCAGGTTGGTTACGTTGCCTTTGAGAGCGTATGGTAGCCCAGGAATGAGAATTACCCCATGATGGCATACCATTTGCAAAAGAAGACAACCCAAGGTATTGCAAATGGGGTATGTCCAGTCTTTTTTAGTAACCACTTGGTCACAAACACTGGCCAAAATTAGCGTTCAATTTAGTTTTTTTACTTTTTTCACACACAAACAAATATGAATGCTTACTTTGGCCAGTGTTTTCGACTAAGTGGCTACTAAAAAAGACTGGACATACCCCATATTGAATACCCTGGGTTGTCTACTTTAAAAAAAATATGTACATGTGGGGTGTTATTCAGAGATTTATGACAGATAATAGTGTTACAATGTCACTATTGATAAATTTTAAAAATGTATGTTTTGAAACCGCAATATCCTACTTGTACCTATAGCCCTATAACATGCAAAAAAAAGCAAAAAAGCACGTAAACACTGGGTATTTTTAAACTCAGGACAAAATTTTGAATCTATTTAGCAGTTTTTTTCATTCGCTTTTGTAGATGAGTAAAAGATTTTTCAAGTAAAAGTCAAAAAACATGTATTTTTTTCAATTTTTCATCATTTTTTTTATTTTTTTTAAATTAAAATACATGAGATTATATAAATAATGGTATGTAAAGAAAGCCCCTTTTGTCCTGAAAAAAACAATATATAATTTGTATGGGAACAGTAAATGAGAAAGCGGAAAATTACAGCCAAACACAAACACCACAAAAGTGTAAAAATATGCAAAATGTACGCATATCATATGGTCGCAAATGTACAACATCGCAAAAACAGTCCAGTCCTTAAGGGGTTAAAAAAGAATATTAAGGGCTTGGGACTTACCAAAAAAAAAAGGGCTGCCTCTTTCCTGACGATACCTCCCAAGGTTATACCATATTTTACCTTCATCACCACTATAATCTAGGAACCGCTAGTCTAGTTTGAGCTCCAGCCTAGCTGTATGCTGCACATCTTGTTAATATTAATATCTTGCCTCATTGCATAGCTCTACATACACTATTGCGCCAGCATAACAATAGCCAGGCTCATTCACCCACACCCACTGAACCGACTACCTGACGGGGTACACACCACTCAGGGGAACCCAAGGGGACACTAACACACGGAAGACCACACATACTCAGAGCACACGTTGAACTTAGGGTTGGAAGGTACTCATGATTTTTGTTTAACCCATTGCCTGCTAATTTAACACACTTAAGCTTGTACCAAAAGTTAAAGCCAGAGCACTCGAATTTATTGAAAGAATGTATTCATGATTTTGTGTAACTCAAAGCCAGATAATTTAGCATGCTTAAGCTTGTACTCAAAGTTAAAGCCAGAGCACAAGTGGAATTGTCTGAATTTAATCTCATGATTTTACCTAACTCAAATGCCAGCTAATTTAGCATGCTTAAGATTGTACTCAAGGTTAAAGCCAGAGCACATGTTGAATTTATGGTTTGAATGTACTCATGATTTTATGTAACTCAAAGCCAGCTAATTTAACATGCTTAAACCTGTACTCAAAGTTAAAGCCAGAGCACACGTTGAATTGTCTGAATTTAATCTCACTATTTTGCCTAACTCAAATACCAGCTAATTTAGCCTGCATAGGCTTGTACTCCACGATAAAGTTACGCTACTGTAACTAAACAGTTTTGTCTTTCGTAATATTTTAAAATGTGCCGTCACCTCTGAGCCACATATGTGACCTTCTGTGCTATCCATACACACTCATGCTGTTGTGGCATCGTACGATGTTTTGTTATTCCATTCACGCTCAAAATAAAGAATTTAACAAAAAAATATATATATATTTTAATTTTTTTATTATTTTTTTTAATCTACAAGTTTTCTATTTTCTAAATGCAGTAATAAACTGCTGAAAGGTGGGTAAGAAGGATACAGTTTGAATCCTCACAGCAGCTATACAAAACACAAAAAGATGGATAATTAGCCTCAATGACAAGTTCAGCCCTCAAGTAATTTCGTTAAGGCTTCCAACCATCTGACAGAATTTCACCTAGAAATAAAATTTAAAATGTTCTACATTATGCTAGAGACTCCCAGTTGGAGTAATGTTAATATGCAAGTTTAGGGTTGCTATGCTCAAGTGTTTTTGAATACATACACTTCATAATCCTGCTAGATAACATATGAAGTACATGTAGTTCAGATCGTGCAGTAAAGAATTAGGTCCAGGAGTGATCACAAAGGAATATTAACTGATATCCCACCTGCAGCACATCATTTGACACTTCTCGAAAATGCTCACAAGCATGAACAAGTATATGTCCAGGAAAACATCCTGGCAACACACATTATTTATTAAACAGTTTGAACAGTGGGATTCATTAAGAGAATCCTAGCGATATATTTACAGAAATCAAGATTTCACAGCACCATATCATAAGGTTCAGATAAAATATCCGAAATGGGAGAAGAAATAAAATCTTATCTGGACAAAACTAATCCAAATTAAAAAAAGTTACAAATCTCAATAAATTCAGCATCAATTTGAAGGCTACTTATGCTTTAAGAAGTGCGCCTGTGTGAGATAGACATATATACACACACAGTTTGTAAGCTTAGCACTCCTGCTTCATGTCTTTCTCGCCAGGTGCTCGACTGCACTGCATATAACCAAGGTTTAGGAGATAGTCATCACTCAAGGTCTTTTAGAAAAACTAAAACATATAAACACACAGCAGTCTGCTGGGTGGAAAAGGAAATATAAAAGGAAATCCAAGGCTATTCTATAAAGTGAGATAGCGTGAGGCAGAGCAGCCTTACAATTTTACTCTGAGCAAATAGTTGTGGGTAGATATCGTCAGACATTTGTTCCTTATACCAACCAAATTCTACATATTTGAAATTCAGCTCCTGTGAAAATATTTTAACGCCATCACTGAGTGCCATATCCACATGTACCCACTGCTTATTCGTGTTTCCCCCATTGTTCCAAGTGTTCTGTACCTTGTTTCCCTGTTCAGGAGCGCTCATACAAATGGAACCTGTTCGTCTCCCGAATGAGGACCACCTCAGTACCCCATTAGAATGTTCACCCCAATCAATCAGAACGTTCGCACCTGCTACATAAGTGCGAAACTGCAAGGGAAGTAATTAATGAGTGCTCCCCTGAGTGGCCGCCATTTCGTATAGATGAACGCCACCCACGGGGAGGATTTGTATCCCAAAAGGAGACTCTTCCCTTGCGGGGTCTTGGCACCGGGACTCCACGAAAGGGTCAGTGAGGTTGGTGGGGACACTTTTTGAGTACTGGTGGTTCGACAACCGGTCTCGCTCCCCAGTGGCAGAGTGAGCTATTGGGAGTGGAGACAACCGGTCTCACTCCCCAATAGCAGAGTGCTGTCCAGGGGTAGAAGTGTTCAGTCCTTCCTCCCCAGCAACAGTGTAAGGTCCAGAGAAGAGAGACAACTGGTCTCGTTCCACAGCGGCAGTGTGAAGTCTCGGGATCGGAGACAACCGGTCTCGTTCCCCAGTGGTAGTATGAGGGCCAGGGAGTGGAGACAACCGTCTCGCCCCCCCAGCAGCTGAGTAAGATCCAGGGTGAGAGCACAGCTGGATCTCCTTCCAAGAGGCCAGCCACAAGCTCAGCGTTTCTCAGAAAGAAGCGCCGCGACTGGCTCAGCACAACTCCCATCATCCACAGGCAGGTGGGAAAACTACAGAGACACAGGTGATGGAATGGCCGGGAGGGCACGCTTGCTTGGGGGGGGGGCTCAGAGACCCCTGTGTACCAGCGCCTGGGCTGGGCGGCCTCCCTGGCTAATGACGCCTTATGTCTAAGGTACCCTGTAAATAGGAGGGTGCAAAGCCGGCCAGACCCAAGCAGTGTAGAAGCTGGCTGAGGACAAGTACTGTTGCGGGTATGGCACTCACTATGTGTACACTCCAGACAGTGGCGAGCTGACCATGTGGGTCATACTGTGGCGGTCAGAAGTGGACAAGCGGGAGATGTGTGACGGAACACCGTCACTGAGTGCCATATCCACGTGTGCCCACTGCTTATTTGTGTGTTTCCCCTAGTTCTCTGTGTGTTTCATGTGCTGTACCTTGTTTCCCCTTTTCGAGAGCGCTCATATGAACGGTGAATGGTACTCCATTAGAATGTTCACACCAATCAGAACGTTTTCACCTGCAGCATAAGTGTGAAACTGCATGGGAAGTAATTAATGAGTGCTCCTTTGGGTGGCCGCCATTTTGTATAGAAGAACGCCACCCAGGGGTACCATTCGTATCCCGAAAGGAGACGCTCACCTTGCCGGGTCTTCGCACCGGGACTCCACGAACGGGTCCCTGAGCTTGGTGGGGACACTTTTGGGGTACTGGCAGTTCGGATTGCCCTAACTAGTCCTAAAAGACCTGCATGGAGATATCCACTGGAGAGAGAGGCGAGCCAAGCAGAGAATCCCTGGAACTGTGAGCCGGCCTCACAGCCGCAGAGTCTAGCTGGCCATCTTGAAGTCCGCGCCAGCCAATTGGAGAAGGGCTACCATTCAAACTAGTTTTACGCCCTTTCTCCTGATTGGCCAGCGAAACCCCTCCCCGAACGCTGGTTGGCGCAATTTGGTTTCACTCCCTTTCTTCGGATTGGTCGTTGCATGGTTAAGGAGCGAAGTTTGAATTTACCTGACTAAACGAAGCAGCCCTGTGGAACTAACTGCGGGGATGTACAGAGCCTCGAGCCACAGACTTTATACGATTATTTCTCAGGCTCTGTACATCCGATAGCCCGGCCAACTGCAGTGGTCCTAGCTGGGACCCAGTGCTAGCCATGGATGTGTTTCATGTGCCCCCCATTCTCTTCCTGGGGCGCAAAGCCCCCTAAGTTTCCCTAATATATATGATGTGTCCTGTTGTCTGTACTTGTTGCACTGAGAGATTAGTGGAGGTAACCAGTCTGGTTACCAAGGGTCCGCTACAGTATTTGTTTGGAAGACACTTCTCAAACCACCTCCGTTCAATTGTTGGTCAATATAACAAAATTACAGACAAGTTGAAGGAACCAAACAGACCTGAAAAGTTTGGACAAATTTGCGGTCACAAATTCAGCTTTTACTAAAGTCAAAGTGAAATTTGTGCAGTTCCACAATATGCAGCGAATACTTCTCTGGTTTGTGGAACAGGTAATACTAGTTTTTAAGGCACGTTTATGATTGGTTGAAACAATTTACAATTCAAAAATCCTACAACTAAGACTGGAATTGCAGGCATGTGGACAGCTTTTCATAAGTTCACTGATCATCCCTAATCCTCAAACAGACTTCTGGAAAATTCATAAGAAGTACACTATGAACTATAGTCAATTTTACAGCAAAATTGCAGGTTAGGGTTAAAAAAAAAAAAATCAAAAAGCTCCAACTTAAGAAAAATTGCTTGACTAAAAACACTTTTCCCTTAACGAAATATTGTTTGTGCTTTACATACTATCGCTGGGTGGGGACGTAGTAACTGAGTTTCCAATAAATAGTGAACATCTGACTCATCAACGACAGACACTGACTATGTAAGAAGGACTTGCAGTCAGTCTGACTCTTCATAGGAATAAACCTGTGTGTAACTTCTAAACATCTACACAAAAAAAGTCATAAAATCATACACCTACAAATCTTACAGACACAAAATTAGAACCAAAAAAAGTCAAACACATACAAAGAACTAGCATTTACAGTCATCATACTGACAGCTACAATCTTACCTATACTGTAGTAGATTCATATTTTTAGTACGTAAAGAAAGGAGCTCATTTTTGGATTTAAGAACCCCATCACCAGGTCATGCAACAACAAAAAAAAAAGTACGCACACTGCAAAACACTTAACACATTTTAGGAACACACTGCAAGGTACAATTTGAAGCTTCATGTCTCACCTTAGAGCATAGGTGTACCCAGTGTTCTCTGGCAGACACTGGGGAGGAGCATATGTGTGAAGATGAGAGTAATCCATTCTTATCAAGTCAGATCATACTGTAACAAGCAAAAGTGCAAATCACAAGAAGGTTACGCAGGCAGAATGAAAACATAAGGGTCCAAAAAATCCAATCCTTCTCTAAATAGACTAAGTATGCTGGTTATTTAAAAGCTGCAGTGCATGCTCCATATGCAGTTATATACACATTTTTTCCCCATCAGAATCAACAATGCATATGTGCTGATGTCCAGCACATATGTCCAAGAATAAGCAACTGAAATTTTCACTCACTTTTCTGGAGTTTGAAAAGATTTTCTTCATGCTAAACCAATGGATATTAACGCAAAATATTCTGTTCAAACAGTTCCCCCTCAGTAAAATGACACACCCTTCCTAATGCAGATTCTGACTCATCAAGATGCTGCTTAAATATCCTCCTGCTTTTATATATAACTTTGTTCCAAGTTCTATTTAACAGAAAACAAGGAAAACTACTGAGCACAATTCTTTTCTCCACAGTGAATATGCAAATGGTGTATTACGATAACATTCTACTGCAGAAGGACTCATTTATATGCTAGAGAGAATTTCACAATAGGAAGACAAATATTACATTGTAACTTTAGAAGTAATTGAAAGTTAAACAAGTTTATCCAAAATGTACCATCATAGCTTAAAGGGACATTCGTGTCATCAGAACTACTACAGCTTATTGTATTTGTTCTGGTGAGTATAATCATTCCCTTCAGTCTTTTTGCTGTAAACACTGTCTCTTCAGAGAAAGTGTTTACATTACAGCCTAGGGATAACTCCACTGGCCACTCATATGGCTAGTAGAGGTGCTTCCTGGGGCAGTGCTGCCCTCTGCATGGAGACACTGAACTTTCCTCTTAGAGATGCATTTATTCAATGCCTCCTTCACAGTCTCAGCCAATCCTATGGGAAAGCATTGTGATTGGCTTTTGTTCAACACTTCTGAGGTCAGCCAAGGATTTATGCAGTAAACACTGTCTTTTCAGAGAAAATGCATTGTTTACATTACAGCCAAGAGATACCTCCACTGGCCACTCCTCATATGGGTATTAGAGGTGCTTCCCGGGGCAGTCCTGCCCAGTGTGTCCACCCTCTGCATGGAGACACTGAACTTTCCTCATAGGGATGCATTGATTGAATGCCTTCTTGACAATCTCAGCCAATCCTATGGGAAAGCATTGTGATTGGCTTTTGTTTAACACATCTGATGTCAACCAAACAGTCAGTTTAGGGGCACAGGCAGCAGCAGCAGACTGAAATGCAAGTAAGATTTTACTATATTTAGTGAGGCATGGGGGTTGGGGGTTAGAGGGCTTTTTAACCATGTATTCCTGATCCTATAGTTTAATCACACCTAATCAACTGGGAAGCATGCTAAGCAATATGGGCTCAATGTAGTGAGATCAGTGCCCAAGGGAAACAGTTTGTTCCCCCAGTTAAGGGGACAGCAAAATATTAACTTTTGCTGGGTTTTTGGTGTTTAATAGAAAAATTTAAACAAAATTCCCTACTAAATAATTAAATGCATGCACGATTTCAGTGAAGATAGACCAAAGAATAAAAAAAAATAAAAAAATTCCTTTGGAGTGTTCCTTTACATAAAATAGCACAGGAATGTTTAAAGTTCAAACACACTCACATTTTATGGGACTTGCATGCTCTGCCTTTTACTGCTCCAAGAAATTGTGTTTTAGGGTGTATATGGGTGTGGCAGAGGGAAAACAAAACAAAAAAACTGAAATCAAAGCTATACTCAGGTTTGTTTTGTCTTTGATAACATTTTACTTCACTACTTGCCAACACTAGAACAGGAGAGAGTTTTTATGAGCAGAAACCCACATGCCATGAAAAAGAAACTTCCCCAGATTCTTCTTATATTCTAAGTGAGCGTAATGTGGGATTTTTTTGGTGACCAATATCCAATACTGTGTTGTATATCAATGTTACACAATTTTCTCTTACAGGAGCGCTGTCACTTTTGAGCTTGTCACAAATGGAAGATTGAAAAAAGAAAAAGGCTTTTTTGACTGTGTTGGACTTTCAAATCCAATAACTTCAAAATATATAATGGAGACAAGGACTATATGGTCTTATGTAATTGCCATTATTTGCTAATGGGCTGAGTTTCTGCCATTTTACTTGAAGTGAGGACTATATGAAATATGGTGATGTGGAGATAGTAGGGCCAAGAAGGAAGAAATTAAACTAAGTATATCCTAACTGTTCACACATTTGCCACCTTCACCACCACTCAAGCATATAGATTGCCTTAATACATTAAGAACACCGCTTCAGAAGTACAAGGTCAGCATGATTTAAAACTTCCGTCATGTGCCCTTAACGGGGTTAGTTTTTTTTTGCAAGACCCCACAAATCACAGCACCACACTAAAGACAGTTCAACTGCTTAGCCAGCACACTGACATCAGGGGGGCAAGTAACTCCTAAAGTAACACATTCATGGCTGGAGGCAATTATACCACTTTAAAAAGGACAATGTTGACATTATACCCATTTCATCTAATTAAAGTAGCTAGTGTCTGAAGTCCCCTGGCATTGTCCTTTCTTTCCCTTCAGTGTTAAACCATTTTTGAACTGAATGAGGGTCCCTGGCCTTCCAGAGGCCATCCATTAGAGCTAAAGCAAAGATTACACTTCATTAGCCTGGCCAAATTATGTCATCATTAGTTGGTGGTGATAGGCTGAAAGCTGTCAGCTGACACTCTCAGGCCAATTAACACCAACAATTGCTGCTCAGGCTAATAGTTCATGGCAGCACAGAGTGACAACGGGCTGCGGAGGAGACTGGTTTACCATTAAAAATGGTTTAATACTGAACAGAAGGACAACTATAACCATTTCAATTAGATTAAAGAACTGCTCTAGGCACCCAGACAACTTCAGCTTAATGAAGTGGTCTGGGTGCCAGGTCCCTCTAGGATTAACCCTTTTTATTATAAACATAGCAGTTTCAGAGAAACTGATATGTTTATTAATGGGTTAATCCAGCCTCCAAATCCTCTAGTGGCTGTCTCATTGACAGCCGCTAGAGGCGCTTGGAAATCAGAGTGAGAAGGCGCAAGCATCCATAGGAAAGCATTATAAATGCTTTCCTATGAGACTGGCTGAATGCAAGCGCAGCTCTTGCTGCGCGTGCGCATTCAGCCGAAAGGGAGGAGAGGAGGTGGAGAGGAGGAGGAGAGCTCCCCGCCCGGCGCTGGAAAAAAAAGTTTTAACCCTTTCCTCTCCCCAGAGCCGGGCGGGAGGGGCACCCTCAGGGCACTATAGTGGTCCTTTAAGCCATTTGGCTACTACAGCCTATGGGCTAAATATTATTGAGTAAACAGCACTGTGTCATTTTTGCATAATGGTTGCACTTGAAGAGCCAGGACTTCTTGGCCTTTAATCATTTTGAATAAAATTTCCCTGTGTGATTAAATGGATAACCAATAGTTTGTTCTCCAATTGTTTAAGCCTTTGTTTCAAAGGACATATTTTCACTATAAGAGCGAAACAATATTGGCACTGTTGCTGTGTGTTTATGTACCACTTTAGAACGAGGGTGAGACTTTTAGAACAACTGAATAATAAAGTAATCAGTATGTTATATACATCTTTGGAATAGAGTTGGGGCAAGCTCTACACTTAATTTCTCGTTATTAACCGCTGTCTGTGCCTGTAGCGTTTTTATGCATTTAATTTGCTTTCACAGGGATAGTCTACAATGAAATACTGTTTCTTGGACAGATACCAACCGCTTCTTCCAGGAAAAGTTAGGACCAGTGATTTGCATGTAACTATAAGTGCACATTGGACCTGTTTTACGTGATGCGCTTATATTTCCCTTGTTCTTATAATACTGACATCAGTAACTATTTGTGGATGAAGCATTTCGAAGACATTTATCCCTTTAGATACTGAAAGGGCAACGATGCGGATATTTTGAAATATTATGTGACAGCAGTCAGAATGCAGTGTTCTAAACACTAACAAAATAACCCAAGGCTAAGGTGACAAGATGGTGGACCTCCTGGTGTTGTACCACTACAGTACTCCTGATTAAGATGATTTTCCAGCTTGGAGAGGTCTACCTTTTGACCAATTCTAATCTAAGGCAAAAGCTGAGCTACTGATTAGCTAGCAGTAAAACAAACTAAATTTTTATGCAATTACAGTATTATAAAGAAACAGGGCAGTAGTCTCACTTAATTTGCTGAAAGGGTTTCTACAACCCCTTTTCACTGATAGAATAATTGCATATTGGCATTATTCTATAGATTTCCCACTACATATTTAAAAGTAAACTTAAATTAAGCACCAGGCACAGCATCCTTTTTATAGAAAAACCTTTGACAACCATTTTACAGATGCAAGGCGCATGCACGAGCTCTAAAACAGGGGAGGGGGAACAAAGTTCATGGCTGCCTAAGTCACGTGTGCTGGGGGGGGTGGGGGGGTAATACTTGCACCCATCACACAATTCCTAATATGTCTATATGTGCAATATTTCAAGCTGAAACACCGCACATCCAGACTCCTACCACCATGACCACTTCAAAAAGCAGAAGTGGTTATGGTGGTTTGAGTAACCCTTTAAGACATTGAAGGTTCATGCAATAGCTTATAGCTTCCACAAACTACTATAATGAAAAACATCCAGAATACATTTTAATTTTAAAAAAAATTTCAAACAAAGAAAATCAGAAAAATTAGCCTAATATTCACACTTTTATACAAATATCTAAAGAACAAGAGTAATAGTTTGCTTCATTCATCCACTCTGTCAGAGGAGCAAGCAGAGCTTTACCACATTAGAGAAGTCTGCAGATTAATTTAAAACGAAGCCAACAGGTTGCGCAAATCCCTAATCTAATGTGAAATCTATTCAAAAGCTGCTTAAGATAATGCACTGCATAATTAATGTAAAATTAGTCAGAAAAGTAATCTCTTCAGCCACCAAAACACATACATGCAAAATACTTTCTTTAATCTGTATGTGCAAGGCTCAGATCGAAAAGATTTCAAAAAAATAAAACCTCACAAATATAAGTAATGTGACTCCATCATGAAGAAAATGAGAGGCAGGTAAACCTCTTGAGCATAAATTCTACATACTACTTCACAGATTAAATTAAAGATTTCACATTTTCTGAGAAGCATCTGAAGACCCTATGTAGCATTTGGTGGTGGATGCTTATTGCATTATTTTGGTAGCCCATGGGTCTATACAGACAGTACAGTGGGTAAATCTTTGAATGTAAAGTACATTCACAGGTTTGATTCCCAGCAGGAATCAAAAAAAGTCAGCCTTTCATCCTTCCATGGTTACAAAAATGAGCATCATTAACTTGGGTAATCATCTTAATCTGGGAGCATAATTGAAAACTGGTGAAAGCTTTGTTGTTGTTTTTTTGTTTTTAAATACTTTGATATTCATACCTGACTCTTATTCTAGGACTCCCAAGGCTGAGAGACTGAAGAATTAAAGGATCACTATATGGTCAGGAAGACAAACATGTATTCCTAACCATATAGTGTTAAAACTACCATCTAGCCCCCCTGGGCCTGTCATGCCTCCAAAAATATAGCAAAGTCTTACTTGTATTCAAGCCTGAAGCTGTAGCTCTGCATACTGTTTGCCTCAGAATAGGCTGTCTGCTGACATCAGAAGTAGTAGCCTGATCCAATCACAATGCTTACCCATAGGATTGGCTGAGACTGACAAAGAGGCAGATCAAGGGCAGAGCCAGCACAATTCAAAACAGCCCTCGCCAATCAGCATCTCCTCATACAGATGAATTGAATCAATGAATCTGAGGAAAGTTCAGTGTCTGCATGCAGAGGGAGGAGATACTGAATGTTTGGATGCATTTTAGGCGGATCCCTAACAGCCATCTGAGGAGTGGCCAGTGAAGTTTTCACTAGGGTGTAATGTAAACACTGCTTTCTCTCTGAAAAGGCAGTGTTTACAGCAAAAAGCATGCAGATAAGGATTCTACTCACCAGAACAAATTCAATAAGCTGTAGTTCTGGTGACCATATAGTGTCCCTTTAAGAAAGGCCACCGATAAAGCAAAACTTTAGTAAAGTTAGTGTATATTTTATATGGGCATCAGTAGTTAGACTGAGTCTGGCCATACTACCCCATTATGCTCAGATAATTTATTATGGTCCAACTGATGTGTAGATTCAAGATCATCTGCTAAGGTACCTGTTGGTCACCATAGCTATGCAATAAATTGTGTATACTATAATTTCCAGCACTAAGTTGTATAGAAATAAAAATGAACAAAAACCATTTAAATAGACACTGGAAGCAAGTAGAAGCTACAATAAATGGTATTTGTTATCTACAGCAATATAATGCAACTCAGCGTTTCTCCCACGAGATATGTGCACAGTACTGCACATCCCAAGCAGAAGCCACCCCCCTGCCACAGCAAATACACACCAATAATGCATGTCTTCCCATTAATGCTGCTGCTGGTCAGGATAAACTTTAAGTCTTTTACAATGCAGGCAGTGGATGGGTTACTAGGAGTGTGAGATTTACACAATTAAGACCAGCTTCTTAGTGTCCAAATCCAGTTGGAGCATAGGCCAGGAAAATTGTTGCTCACAGCAGATGACTTCTGTACAGAGAAGATTACTGGAGCTGGCTCTGTTTGCTGCCGCAGGCACACAACTGCAAAATGCTTCTGTCCCATAGAAAAGGCAACTAACTGCTTTACAGACACTGTCAAAACCTAATGCTTAACCACAACTACTAGAACATGTTCCTGAAAATTCCCACACTGTTGCTTCTGTGTAAAAAAATAAATAAATAAATAAAAAAGGTTATCCTAGTTGGGGCCTTCCAGGCCTGAGGAATAGCCCACGGTATGTCTAAAATAGTATCTCCTATTAACATTACAATAGACTACTGCTTTGGCCGTGAGAATCCAATTCCCAAAATGTGATTAAGCCTTTCAACACTGCATGGGTGAGCAGTAAAAGGGTTAAAGGAAAGTTGAAGCCAGATGTGCAGGGGAAAGGGCAAAACCAGTGTTTGGGTAAACACGTGTAAACAAGCATTTTGTTTACACTTGGACAAAACCTTGAGGGGGCAGAGCTCTCAAAATTTACAGCATCTGTTCCTTCTTTAAATTGTGTCACTAACTTTACTCTATGGGGATTATTCACCAAGCAGTGAATGGTAGTAAATTAAATAGACTGTAAAGTTTAAAAACAAATTGCCAGTTTGGAAATAAAAAATAAAATCTCCAACTAGTTACAGCAATGCTATTTAAGCCTAGATCTTGCAATTTGTTTTCAATTCTCCACTACACGTTTAGCAAATAAATGCCAATGTGTGAGGAATCTATTAGAGGAATGTAACAAAAATAATACAATTCACGCTAAAATTCAATAGTTCAAAACATAGCACCTACATATACTACAGTACAGATGAAAGGGGACATTTTAAAAATGAATTAAAAATAAACAAAACAGTTTAGTGAACCAAGGTTACGAAGACCCTGCTCAGACAAGCTTGCTGTCAAAGATATTATAGGGAGACATGTTTAATACATTCGTACTCTTCTCACCATTCCATCAAAAAGTTCTACAGCGTCCATTAACATGTAATTAAAGGGAAAACATAACGTGTACGTATTCTAATGACACACTGGAGAGTTTGTATCTCTCCGGTTCCTAGAAGGATTATTAGCACTTTGCAGGACATGCACTTTTGACATTTGCATGCTAACACATACAGGGGCTGTCACCAGAAATTACGCCTGTTACTTTAAAGCACATTGTGTGTTTACTCCTCGTTAATGTGCTTGGGCCTCTATACCAATATAAAAAGAGCAGCACTGCAGCTTTTACATAGGAACAATCTTGCAAATTCAAACCACCAGCATAGCAACAATGAGAGAACACTGAACTATATATAACTTGCTGAATGAATCTGAACAGCTTGTCAAGTACAGCGCTGAATGGGAATGACCAAATTCACAAGCAAACCTATGTCTCCAGATCCCAGGGTCTGCGTGGTTCATGTCCTCAGAGAGGGGGTGGATCACAGGGGTTATATCCCAAATTCTTCCATCACAAAGCGGCTGGCAAGGGACAAGTTTGCAAGTTGACAGTAATTTCTAAATCCACACTGCTGCAAGATCCCAAAATGGCTTCCCTGCCTCAACAAAGCCTGAAGGATCAGCCTGCTCTGATACACCCACTCCACAGCCTCTGCTGTCTGTCTGAGCCACACTTCAAACCTATTGGGCAATGGGAGCATGAGCCAGCCCTTGGCTTTAACCCCTTAGAGACCTTCCAAAACAGAAAGCATGCATCAAAACAGATACACTCTTCCAAGCAGTCTGAATGAAAACCTATACATGTGTAGTTTGTTTTTTTGCCAAGAAGCTGATATGGTTTGAACTGTAGTCAGAGTGATTTACTAATAAATATATATAGGAAGGGTTTTCTCGGGAAGTAAATTAACACAGATTAAAGGAATTGTAGAAACACATTAAATGTTATGTAAACAAATTGGTAATAGAGTAGGATAAAGTATAAACATGTTTTTATTACTGAATTAGAATAAAACAGAGCACGCACAGTGTCCAAATAGAATACAATAGAAAAACAAAGAACAGATTAGTTTGGTGTGATAAGAGAAGACACTATTTTATTCAGTTAAAGGAATACTATAATGTTGGGTATACAAACCTGCATTACTAATGATATAGTGCCCCTGTCCCAAACTTTATAGGTTCCTCGCTCACATCAGATCACTCCCCTTTTTTTTTTATAAACATACCACTTTCTCTTCCTTCAGCAATGTCAAGGCAATGGAGGGACCTAATGCGCATCAAATCATTGAATTATTTGCAGTTTAGTTTTTAATGCACTCTAATTCAATGTTTAGTGAATTAACCCCAAAGTTATTCATTAAACTGAGAACTGAAAAGCAACTTTCAGGCAAAACAAAAATGTCAAACTGCTATTCCTTTACAATTCTCTGGTGAATTCCAGACAAACCATTGTTTAGGGAATAGCCCTGTGAGAACTAAAAAGTTAATTTCTATGTTGAGGCCAAAATAGCAGGAGAGTTTCACAATGTTTTCAGCTACTTTGGCTAGTTTATAAACTAGGGATTCTGGTTCAGTATTTTAACTTTCATAATGGACAGTGTAGGATTAACATTTATTGCACAATAAAGCTATAAGTATATTTATATTTTTTCAAAGATAGAGTCCATGAAATCTTAACCAGTTATTATAAACACCATGGGGGGTGGGGCAGGGGGAGGGAGCGAGAGCTGTTATTTCCTGACAAAGGTCTTACTCCAAGTCTGGTATAGTCATTAGGGCCTTGTTATCCAACCTGGAACAAGAATTACCAGTCTGTTGATGTCAATTCTGTGCATACAGGTCATATGTTGTCAGCATGCACAGCATCACCTAACAGGCAACTGCTTAACCCCCTGAAGTTAAGACAGTGTACAGACACTCCTGGCCAACAAAAATAGATCATCTATAACAGGGCTCAACATATCCCAAGCACCAGATAGCCATCGCGAATAATATTGTCCTGGCGCCTGGATCTGTCAGTCCCGTTCCCTATATCCCCATGCAGCTCTCTGCACCCTGGGAGGAAGTGAAGGCGATACAGGAGGAGAAGGGGGGAGTCTGGACCAGCAGCAGTCCACTCCCATCAGCAAGCCCCGCTGTCACCTGCTGATGCCCAGTCCCACTGGATCCCAGGGAAGCCACACCCCCCTCCCCCTCCCAAAAAGGTATTAAACAAGAGGGTGGATAAAACTTTTTTTAACATTTCGGTGTGTGCGCACGCGCGTACACATATCCGTCGCGTGGGTGCGTATACATTGTGATGTTTTGTACAAATCAGTCAATTCCTGTATAACGAAGTACTCACTTTATGAATACATATATAACAGGATCTTCATATTGCAGCCTTGTTACACAGGGTTCTGCAGCCGGCATTTCAAATCCCTAGAACATCCCACCAACTGCCAACAGGAACAGGAAGTAAAGAACCAAAAGAAAGGAAGTGCATCATCCACAGCCAACAGCCCAACTGCCCATACATCACAATACATGCACTCATACACGTACACAGCCCAACAGTCCATACATCCCATCTCCTTCCTTTCTCAACAAAAGGAAACAAAACCATAAAATAACAATATTAAATTAACAATTTAAAAAGGTTTCGTTATTTCGCATCATTCTGTCCATCATCTTCAAGATCTACAATCTTTGTTTCAGGTCAGCTTATTCTACTCCTACTAGGATACCATTTCTGCCTTCTCACTGTGGAGTTTCTCAGACTATAGTCCCTTAATGGATCTTGTGGTTGCCAGCAGTTTGTGGCCCTTTTCTCTCTTGTTGAATGGCCAGTATTTTCATGACCCCAGCCTTCATGATTACTTGAACTGTGGCTTGGCAGTTCTTGTTGAGGGGTATCTCCTCCAAATCATCCCCTATTACATCATGAGCCTCAGGACCAGGTCTATTGCAGACTTCAGAAATGTCATCATGCCAAACTCCATGCCAGATATCAGTGTCTGGTTGCATGAGTGGCCCTACCCACTTTGATAGGTTGTCTGTTATATGTGGTCTAAGTTAATTTGTATGTCTCCGTGTGCAACATCCAGAGGTTAAAACTTTATAGTGCGCTGGCCCCAGAACTTCCTTTACCATGGCTTCTTTCAAACGATTCTCCTAATGATATACACGCATCCAAACAGAATCCCCTGCTTTTCCGACTTGCATCTTCAATTGTTGCAGGATGACCCTTTGTTGAATCTCTGGTTTTAGCAGATCCAAATTTGTCCTGAGTTCACAGCCTAACATAAGGCATGCTGGAGGTTGTCCAGTGGTTGGATGAGGTATTTCGATACTGTAGAAGGAACTCAGACAAATGATGTTCAAGTCTCTTTCCTTCTGCTTTCAGACTTCTCAGAAAACCCTTTAACATTTGAACAAAACGTTCTGCTTGACCATTAGTAGCAGGATAATACGGTGCTGTACGATGATGCCGAATACTGTTTTCCTTGAAAAAAGCCTGAAATTGTCAAGAAACAAACTGCAATCTAGAGGCAAAAGCCACTGGCCTGTCTGTCCCATCAGCCATGGAATGAGACCGGACTGTTCCCAGTCCGTAAGGTGATGCATCGCAAGCAATGGAAACAGGCTTTTCCAAATCATAGTGTACTAGAAGACGTGAACTAGGAACTAGTTCTTTTGACTTATGGAAAGCTGAAGCACATTCTACTGTCCAGTGCCATTGTCATTTACGCTCGAGAAGACAATGTAAATGGTACAGGACATGAGCTAAATTTGGCAAAAACAATTGTAATAATTTAACAGACCAAGATAGGACCTTAGTTGTGTCACATTTTGTGGCGTTGGAGCATCCTGTAATGCCTGGACTTTCTTATCTGTTGTATGCAGCCCATGTTTGCCAATTACATGAGCACAAAATTCAAGACGATCCTGCATGAATTGGCATTTATCCAAATTCACCTTCAATCCATATTCCATAAGTCAATTTTGGTGAATTGCTGGCCACCTGCAAATGATGCAAAAAGATCTACTCTAGGAAGGGGATACTTATCTATTTTAAGCTGTGTGTTAAAGGACCACTATAGTGCCAGGAAAACACTCATTTTCCTGGCACTATAGTGCCCTGAGGGTGCCCCCACCCTCAGGGACCCCCTCCTACCCAGCTCTGGGGAGAGGAAAGGGGTAAAATCTTACCTTTTTCCAGCGCTGGGCGGGGAGCTCTCCTACTGCTCTCCTCCTCCGATCCTCCCATTCGGCTGAATGCGCACGCGCGGCAAGAGCAGCGCGCGCATTCAGCCGGTCGCATAGGAAAGCATTATCAATGCTTTCCTATGGACGCTTGCGTGCTCTCACTGATTTTCACAGTGAGAATCACGCAAGCGCCTCTAGCGGCTGTCAGTGAGACACTCGCTAGAGGCTTTGGAGGAAGGATTAACCCATTTACAAACATAGCAGTTTCTCTGAAACTGCTATGTTTATAAAATAATGGGTTAATCCTAGCTGGACCTGACACCCAGACCACTTCATTAAGCTGAAGTGGTCTGGGTGCCTAGAGTGGTCCTTTAAGAGCCATACGGAAATCCCCACAAATCCGTATCTCCCAATTTCATTTTCTCACAGGAACAATGGGCGAGGCCCACTCACTTTGCAGTTCTTGCGCGCACACCTGCCGCGGGCGCACAACCGGCGCACAACCGCCGAATGCCTTACTGTGCCCATAACGCACTGCTTATTGGATATGATCTGCATTGAAAGTAAAAGAACAGTAGATATAAATACATTTATTTCTAGTGTTCTACCGTTTGATTAGATTTAGGGATCACACTGATTGGAAACAAACAAAAAGCATGTCTTTCATGAGAAGCATTGCCTTCAGAAAGCACTGTCTGAAAGCCAGGAGAGCGCAACTTATGTCATTTATACAATTTCACTCAACACATCAGACATGATACATGAAAATGAAGTTGTCATTCATTTTTATAAAAAAAATAATCATATACTTATTTGCCTAATTAAACAGAAAATGTATAAATTTAAAGAGCATGATTACCTAAAGACCTCTCCTGATTCCCCCGATGAGGGCTAGCAATGGGTGGGAGTGGCTGGACAGCTAGCTGTCACACCCCCAAATAACAACTGGTACCCCACATTTAATAGCATGTGTGTGCAGAACACTGACTGATACTATTAAGGAGTGGCAGGATACATTTCTACCAATGGTAGTAAAAGAACAACAAGTAGGTCACAATAATTTCCAGCTAAGCTATTATGTAGTAAATTTTGCAATTCAGCTGACAGTGCCTCGCAGTTCCCTGTTAAGTGCGTAAACGCATAAATGGCCCATATAGTTTTTCTGCTGCCTGCCACTAACAAAATGTATTGCTTTACTGTCCAAAAGGATTCATGACTGCCAGAAGCTTGAAAACAAGCCGATGGCAAACTATTACAAGTAATTGGAGAGACAGTGACAAAGTACATGCCGTGTCTAAACTTGCCCTGCATATAATACATTTTGGTCAAATACTTGCTCACACTAGCAAATGCTTCAAGAGGATAAAAAAAATGTTCAAAGATTCCAACCATGATCCCGCCAAAAGAGTTATGCAAATCACCAAAAACATCCTACACCAACTGGTGTTTTTTTACTAAACTGGGGGATTATGAAGACAGTATGAAGCACTGTCACAAATAACTGTTAGACTGTGGAGGAATAAAATTATGTGAGCAAAATGATGCAAAACCAGTAATAAAAACACATACCTAAAAC